AGGCATTGTCTGTTGACTTCCCACTAAGGAATATGAGAATTGGCTTCTCATTGACCAACACCCTCTCCCACACTGCAAACATACTTCTTCCCACTGTCCTCCAATATAGTTATATCATGAATAATGGTGTTGTTATAGCTAGACACTGTTATAGATGAACTATGTAGCTGGTACTTCTCCTTCCCTACACATTATTTTCCCTTGAATTTTTAATTTTTTTTGGCTCATCTGTTTCATTTTCTGTGTTCTCAGTGGTAAGGTATGAATCAAACCCTTCACAGCTGTGTTGCTATCCTGTTGGTACCTTCACAGACATTGGGTGGTTTACTAACTTTTTAGCCTGCGTGTTTCTCCCTGGAGACTTCTGTGCTGCCCTGGGCCTGGCTGCTTGCTCTCTGGACCTGCTGCCCAGTCACCCAGGAATCCCTGTTGCTTCTCCCATACTCCAGCTCCCATTTCATGGATCTGTGTCTTTCAGTGGTTTATGATCTCATTTGGTGGAACACATCTTCCAGGAATGTTGTGAGAAAAGATAAATGGCAGGTAAAATTTCTGATACCTGCAGTGCTTGGAAATGTCTTTAATTCTGTGATATAGTAAGTTAACTAAGTACAGAGTGCTAGGTCATTTCTGTTGGAATTTGGAAAGAATGGCTCCATTGCCTTGTGTTGGCCAGTGTGACAAATAAAATTTGTTTTGTGGGATGTGTTTGCCTCTGGGAGTGCTCAGGACCTCTTTTCTTCTCCTCTCGTTGTTAGGACATTTCATTAGGTTGTGCTTTGGACTGGGGCTGTTTTCATTTATTGGTGGACCATTTGAATTGCTCTTTTTTTGTGACCCTTTCTGGAAGTTTCCTCATTTTGTCTTCAAACTCTATTGAAGTTTAAATTTTAGCTACTTACTTAAATTTTGTAAAGTTCCTTTTCTGATTGATTACTCCTTATTTATGGGATACTGTACTTCTTTCCGAGATACAGTCATCTTTAATTCTTCAGAGAGTGTTAATTAGAGATTAGTAATTGATCATTAACAATAAAAAGTTATTAACATTAATGCAAATATTAATACTATTAGTATTGATATTAACAATAGACTTTTTTTTCTCTATGTACTCTTTCTCCAGGTTAATTTGTTTTTTGGATCTCTATCACTTTAGACACTGTTCTCAAATCTTCGGTGATTCTGGACTATCTTTTTTTAAATTTATTTTATTTAGTTGAATGAGTTAGAAAAACAGAGAGAGAGGTCTCCATCTGCTCGTTCACCCCTCAAAATGGCCGCAACGGCCAGAGCTGAGCCATCTGAGGCCAGAAGCCAGGAGATTTTTCCAGGTCTCCCATGTGGATACACAGGGGCCCAAGGACTTGGGCCATCTTCTGCTGCTTTCCCAGGCACATTAGCAGAGCACTGGATCAGAAGTGGAGCGACTGGGACTGGAACTGGCACCCACATGGGATGCTAGCACTGTGGGCTGGGGCTTTAACCCACTGCGCCATAGCGATGCCTCCTTAGACTGTCTTATAGTCTACAGTGGGGCTTGAGAAAGCCGATTGGATTGGACCCAGTTCTTATCAAGTCTATGGACCCACCTCTGGATCCAGCTGCTGGCTTGTGAAAAATATTGAAGATGAAGGAATATGAATTGTACCATGAATATGCAATCAGCAAAGCTCAGGTTGCACTTTGCAGGCCCTAATAATAGCCTGGTTTAATCCACAGATAAATTGTAAGAAAAAGAAAACAAGGAAGGGGAATCTATAGATTAAAATAGACTCTAACACGAACTGAATTAAAAAAATGGTAAATTTTATGTGTATTTTACCACAATTCAAAACAAACCAGGGTGGGGTCCAGCGCTGTGGCATAGTGGGTAAAGCCGCCGCCTGTAGTGCTGGCATCGCATATGGGTGCTACTTCGAGTCCTGACTGCTGCACTTCCAATCCAGCTCTCTGCTATGGCCTGGGAAAGCAGTAGAGGGCCCAAGTGCTTGGGCCCTTGTACCTGCGTGGGAGACCCAGAAGCAGCTCCTTGTTTTGGATTGGCACTGTTCTGGCTGTTGTGGTCATCTGGGGAGTGAACTAGTGGATGGAATATCTCTATCTCTGCCTCTGCCTTTCTGTAACTCTGCCTTTCAAATAAATAAGCGTTACACACAAAACACACACACACACACAAAACAGAGGCAAGACTGTGTGTAGGACATAAACAGGGCCTTCTGAGGTGTCTTTGAAGTTCTTTATTGACCTGGATGATGGTTTCATGAGATTATTAGTGTTATGTTTACTAAGCTGTATATTTGTCATTATTAAGTATGGTTCTAGCTGTTTTATTTTAAGGTGAAAACAATTTTTTTAAATAAAGCCAGCAGATTGGAAGCTCCAAGTGCATGGTTCGGGCCTGCTGGCTGGTGTTTGTGGACACACCTTGTCGCTGGGGGAGCTCCCAATGTTGCTTTCTCTAGCTCATTGGTTCTCAAACATTTTGATCTCAGAATCCCTTTACATGACTAAAAATTTGTAATGACTGCAGAGGACTTTTGTTTATATGGGTTACATATACCAATAGTTACGTAATAGAAATCAAAATTGATTTAAAAAAACTTTCTTATAATAACAGTAGTAAACCCATTTCATATTAAATGAAATATATTTTTATGAAGTGACTTTATTTTTCAAAACAATATATTGGAAGAGTGATGTTTTATTTCTGTGAATTTTTAAAAATTAAAAATGTATTTATTTGCAAGGAAGACAGACAAATGGAGAGAGAGTCCCCATCTGCTGGTTACTCCCCAGACGCCTGCAACGGCTGACACTGAGCTGTGCTTCTCAGCAGGAGCCAGGAACTCAATCCAGCTTTCCCTCCTAAGTGTCAGGAACCCAGTACTTGAGCCAGTACTGCTGCTCCTCAGGGTCTGCACTGATGGGAAGCTAGAGTTGAGCCGGAGCCGGGTATCAAATTCAGGTACTCCGATGTGTGACACAGGCATCTTAACTGGTGTTTTACTGCTAGGCCAAACACCTACTATTGTGAATCTTTTTGATGTCTAGCTTAAGAGAAGATAGCTAAGCCCACATCTGTTCCTGCCTTTTCTATCTTGCAATATCACACATGCTGCAGCCTTTGAGAGAAAGAGTGAAGGCAGCACATACCAATATAGTATTATTTTGAAAATATATTTGACCTGCGTAGCCTCTGAGGGTACCTAAGGAAACTCAGGGGTTCCTGGACCACACTTTGAGAACTTTTTCTCTTGAGCTGGTCATTTTCTCCAGGGAAGACTTTCCTGTCTAGAAAGCTGTCAGCATCCCTGACAATATGTCTCCTGCCCGTCAGCATTCTGAAGCCCCGAAGAGGGTGAAAGCTGTGAACTCACTTTATTTCAGTTCTTGGCATAGGGTCCTATAGTCATCTGTTCCTGATCTCTCTCAGTCCAGGAACCTGGAAACCCTTCCCAGTAACCCTTGTATATGCTGTTGTATTTTGTTGCCTACATTTATAACTGAGGAAAATTCTAAATTTCAGTTTAGGGGTTAATAATTTGTTTCCCATCCAGGTTCACAGATTTTGTCATTCAACCAGTTTTATTGGGTTTACAGATTTTATAACAAATAATTGTTTTAGTATCCAACTACATTAAAATAAGATCTGACATTGAGCTCTTAGTAGGTGCAAGGTGCCATGTTAAGTTTTACATGCACTAGTTTATATATGCATCACAACAATGAGGTGAAGTAACTTGCTCATTGGTCACAGAGGTCACACAGGATCCACAGAGCTAGAATTCAAACCCTGGCTGGCCAGCTCTAAAACCCAAGTTCTTCACCACCATCCCATAGAATTCATAGTTAAATAATTTGAAGGACTCAAACAAAAGTTTTCATTATTATACAGCAGCCTATTGTAACTGAAAAAGGTAAGGCGATTGTTGCATGCTACTCATTGTCATAGAAGTCCTCAAAGAGTTCATGGAAAATGAGCATGAGCTTCTCAGTTTTCCATGAACTTTTTGAAATACTCTCATATGGGGGGAAAGCAGGGACCAATTCAGCATCAAAATATACACAATGGGTGTTGTAAGCTACCTAGCAAGGAAGAAACCACGGGGTGCAGAGGACAATGGGAAATACACGCTTCTGGTCCAATTCAAATGTATCTTCAAAGTTCTATCACATAGCTTATATAACACATTTTCACTTTATGGAGGCAATAAAGTACAAACATGACGAGCTTTATCTCTTTCTCTGTCCCCACAGCCCCTCAGCTGTGGCAGGAAAGCCTAGGACCAAATGTATTGCCCAACTGTTGTAATTATCTAGGTATTAGTGTTACGTGTGTATGTGTGTGTGTATGTATTGTCTCAATCTTTGTGCTGGTACCTTTATCATTGTTTTCCTCATCTTTAATTTACATAATCTTGCTATGTTTTATGTATCATTTTAAGTCATGGAATTGTTATGTATATAATAGAATTCATGTGGTAGAGAATTCTAAGATGGGCTCTAACATCCCTGCCTCCTGGGGTACACTTGCCTCTCTGTTATTCACATGCTGATTGGAGGGATTCTGCAGTTGTAATTAAGGTCTTAAATCAGGTACCTTTAAAAAAAAAAAAGGGAGATTATCTGGGTGGGCCTGACATAATTAGGTGAATCTTCAGAAAGAACTTGGCCTTGGTAGAAAGAAAATCCAGAGGAATCCAACATGAGGGAGAGTCTCATTGTGGGCTTTGAAGAGGGAGCGCACGCTTTGGTATGAAACACAGGTGGCCTGTAGGGGCTGAGCGGGAACCCTGGCAGACACACTAAACAAGACTTCTCTCCTGCAACTGCAGGGAACTGGGGTCTGCCATAGCCACTCAAGTCGGAGGAGGATCTTGAGCTCCCGATGAGAATGCAGCCAGTTGACAAAGTGCTCTTAGCCTTACAAGATGCAGAAAGGAGAACGCAGTCACATGCCTGATCAGAACTGTGAGTAATAAATGAGTGATAGCCGAAGCTTCTAAGTTGGCTAATTTATTACAGCAGCAGTAAAACTAAGTATTTTGCTTCACAAAATTGCAACTACTGTTTGTTAAATATTTATTGATGTTAAATCCACATTACACCAGCACAACAATCCAAAGTAGTATGATAGTACTTTTCTTTTTATAAATACAATGTAAAAGGTGGCAAAATAATGCTAGTTAATCCCAAACCCAGAAAATTAGCAAAAGTCACATTCAGAAAAAATTTGGCAAGTAAGATATGACATAAGTCATAATTCTACAATACAGATAGGTCCATGAGAGACTTTGTATGGTATTTTAAATTGCATATTAGCAACGCATATAAGTGTGGTCAAAGAAACTTGTACCACGCTGCATAGAACATCTGCCACCCAGTGCTCAAGCCTATAGTCATTTAAAACTTGGTTGGTTGGTGTTCTCACAAAGAAGTAGAAAGCTGTACATGTGAAGCAGTAATATGAAATACATGGGGTGGTACACAGATAGAAAATTATTTTAAAAAATACTACATATGAATTGAGTAACTGAGCTAAGAGTTCAATACTTTTATTATAAATAATGAAAGATATATGTGTTTTGCATAAGGAATACAGTGTTTTCTTTTCATAGCAAAGTACCATTAAAGCCTCATGTTTTATACCATTAGGTCAGATTATTTTTTCTTTTTAAAATTTATTGGTTCCGACTTAAAACCATAAAGTCTGGTCACAGTCAACTCCGTCTAGCTGACGCAGAATTCATATGCATTCAAAAAGCAGTCTTTGCTGAGATGCCTTTACAGACGGCTTGGAACCCAGCACCTTCTTAAGGCAAGGTTTCATGGCAGCAGGGAAGTGAACAATAACTTCCACTCACTATTCCTTGGTGCCGTTGGAAAAAATACAAATATGGCACACACCTGTTTTTGTCTCTTCTCAAGTCTCCATTTCCCTCAAGTAGACTAGATCCTATAGGCAGCTGCTCGTTTATGCCACTCTTTCAATCTCAATCCTTTTTCAACTTGCTCTACACATCTAACATCTTCAGCTACTACACAAACTTCAGACACACTGAAATCTCCGTAACACATGTGCTCCGAACTTCCAGCTGACCCTAGATTCCTTGACTTGTGAATGGCAGTGTTTTTTTCACCTAGATTTTAAGACTAATTTTGAAGAAAACCAAAGAAAAGCCTGGCCCTTGCCACTTATCTCTAGATGAATGCAATAAAACTTGTGCTGGTAGCATTTTCCTTCATTCTCCTCCCTACTCCTTCCACACCCTCGTTTCCTCCTAATCCTTATATAATACCTTGGTCATTTTGGTGGTTTAGATGCCTGTCATGGAATGGACTGTAATATATTTCTGCTTTATTCAGAATACTTTATATTATTTATGTTTAAATTAACCTTTTAATATGGTTTGTAAATAAGCTTTCTACCAAGGTAGCATGAAAAGAAAATACTACACATAAAGAAAAAAAGGTTATGGATTAAGATATTGATCTTGTAAAAAAAAAAAAAAACTTGATATGAATACAATTTAATGCAAGTAGTTCCTTCCTTAGGACTTCCTATAAAACGATTTGCAAAGACAAGGCATTTACTTGGATTTCTTTGTTATTTCCTCTTTACATTATTGCACTTGGTTCACTGTAGATGTCTGAATACACTGCACTTGAGAATCCTTGTAGCCGTATTTGTGGTACAGTTGCCACATGTTAAACTTAACGTCACACTGTCATGCTTTGTAGCACCTACAGCTTGTGTTTAAAGGCACTTCTAGATAATGTACATTGTGGTTTCCTAGGAAGAGATGGATTTCCTTTAGCATTTTGGCATTTCAACCACTTTAATCACAGCAATTCCAAAAGTTTTACACTGGACAGTAAATGTGAATTTCCTGTGCAACGTGTACATTTCTATTAGCATTACCTACTTCACCGCTAAGTTTGGTATATCAAGTAAGAAAAATATTATTTTGGTGTTGTTTGTTTATTTCGTATAGTCAGAGATACACCTCTGCCTTTTACATAACACGACAGAGGACCGTGTTGGTCAAGGCAAAGGCTGTCTCCGTGTTTCTGCCGCCAACAAGAATGCAGCTCACAGGTCCTCACTCTCTACCAAGCCGGGGTTCAGTGTCAGGTGCGACGGGCTGGCTTCAGGCTGGAACGCGGCTTTGATGTCCAGTCCCTGGTCCGAGAGTGCTGCGTAGCGACTGGCTGAGGGCCGCACTTTTTTGGGCTTGGTGCTCTGTGGCTGCTGATGCCACTGGGCTGCAAAGCAAAAGCACATATTAGGTTTTGAACCATGATATACTTGCAAAATCCTCAGCTGTTCCAAGTAAATGCAGAACGTCTTTTGACATATACCAGGCACATAGTCTGTGAAATACTGAACACATCCTGGTGGACATGGAAAATTATGGATATGTTTGCATTTTATTTGTACTTTATAGATTTATTGCTATACGGGGCAGTGGGAAATAAAAACCAAGTGTAGTTTCTCATTAAAGTAAATACTGCAGTGCAAGGAGTCTTTTGAAACAGTTGACCTCCCTCTATGTAAACAAAATTTTTTTTTTACACTGATCAACTGAAAGCAATTGAGTAGTCGGGAAGACTGGAGACACTCAATTTTTAAAGAAGTTCCCAAAGTACTTCTTTTTCATGAATTTGAAATCGGTTCTGAATTTTTCCCTAGTGGTTTTTTGTCAGTACATAATGCTACTGTACAAGTTTATAAATGCAATCAAAACAATTTTCTTTCAATTTTGGAGAGATGTACATGAATAATACATACACAAGCACTCACATACCTATTGCTGAGATGCTTAACATACATTAACAGAAAAGCACTAAGCCACAAAAGTACGCATTCCAGGATCAGTGGTACACACATTTAGAGTGCATTAGGACACTGTGATAGGATTGTTAACAGGCAGTCTGCAGAAGACAGTAATAGGAAATGTGACAATCATGTGTTAGGCCTTTGCCTACTGTTAACTCCTAAGGATGCTTGAGTAAGGAAGCCACAACTGACTTGGCAATGTAAAAGAAATCAACATGCATAGTTTGCTAATAATTCAAAGTTCCTGAATGATACTTGAGTATTTGTTCTCCTGGTCTGGTTCACTATTAATGTCGAGAAACTATAAATAGAAAAAGAAAGAGCAATATGAATTTTTTGGCAAATAAAACGCTACAGTTGTTTCTAAGATGACATAAGAGTGACGTGACTTGCTGAACGGAGGCCTTGAGTTTTCCTAGTTACTGAGTGAACTCAACGAGCCGGCGGAGGCGGCACTCACTGTAAACGTCCAGCCTGGCCGTGCAGGACACGATGCCGGCTTCGTTCTTGGCGGACACAGTATACCATCCAGCGTCCTCTTTCGTGGCTCCCTGAATGAGCAGGCAGATGTAGCCGTGATTATCCTGGTGCATGCTGGAGGAAGAGATAAAGTCATTAGGCTTCTAAATTTCCTAGAAGTGGCTTTGGACACGAAGCAGCCTTTTTAATGAGATCATTAGAAACAGAATTGTGCGAGGAGCAGATAATAGGGTCGTACTTATTCTGGAGAGGCTGCGGTCCCCATTAAAGTTAATGGGCGAGCAGCCACGTCAAGGGGCTGAATAAACCTGTGCGCTTCCCGCGCAGCTGAGGGTCTGCTTTACAGAGACCACTGAACGCGGATGCCAGTGAATTCATCTTTCTCGACACAAAGAAATGCTTTTTTAAAACACTCACTTTGTGGTAATGCGCTTCCTCACCTGCCATCACAGCTTCTCTCCAAAAGCTCAGTCCAGCACTGGGGTGAGAGCGATCTCTACCTTTGATAGCGTCAGTAGCGTTTTAGGGCTTTTACACACACAGGTCTAAATATAAAAGGTATCTTTTCTGTGTCATTAGGTTAAGTCACTGTGCAGTCTCACCTCACTCGGTCAGTGCTGTGTGTCAGTGATTCGTTTTCTTTCTTCCAAAATATCTGAGGCGGTGGTGCTCCCGAAACACGGCACTCCAGCCGCACTGGGTACCCGTCAGCGACTCCTGTGTTCTGCAGCTTCTCAATAAACACGGGGGGCTTGTGCGCTTCTTTAGCTAAAATGAGGTGAGTTCTCTGTCAGTGATAGACACGGGAGGCGCTACAAAGAATTCAGAAACCCTTAGAAATAGAGTTTGAGATCTGTTATGAGACCGTTTTTCACTTCAGGTGCTAAGAGGCCAGGTCTCTCCCCAGATTATTCTTTGACCAAGCAGAGGTTCATCTGCTTCCTGTCACTCATTTCATTCATCAGTTCAGGTGGGACGGGCCCCCACAGTGCACTGGCCATCTGCCGCATGGAGGGCCCATGGGCCGAGCCAGGGGAGACGCCCAGGTCGCGGCTTGCATCTGTGCTGGCTTCTCCCTGCCCTCACTGCCTTACCAAGCACTGCCACCTAGTGACGCGTGCAAGACAGTGCTTCCCTCCCTCGCCACCGTGGGAAATGTTTGCTCCGAACGTTCTGAAGATTTGCAGCTCCGGGCTGACCTGAGACATACCACAGGATTTCAGGGGAGGCATCTTTATCCAAGTTTGACAACACTGAAGAGTTCTATGAATTAGGAATGTACATCCTATAAATTACAAATTCTACTTTGTATTTTTTGTAGGAAGCTATAAAAGGCAACTTTTTTTTTTATTACTTTGAAGGAAGGAAGCCATAAAGAGGACTTTATTACTTGGTCTGAAAATTGTTAACAACACTCTGAAGGTAACCATCCAGTGGGAAGTGGCTTTCGTGGGTCACTGGTGAAAACAGTTTCAGAGAAAGAAGAGGGTTTAGTTATTTTCTTCTGAGCTACCAGCGATGAATTTGAGGATGCATGTCTCTCTCTCCCACCTAATCCCTCAGCTGGAGACAAATGTAATGCATAGCAAAGCAGCCAGAAGCACTCAGAAAAGATAAAACTTCTATCTGAAATTGTCAAGCATCTAAGACTCCCTAAGACCTTGAATTATACAGAGGGTTGTATTTTTATTGACTTTTACATGGTTACTTCTTTTTAAAAAAATTTATTTGAGGCCGGCGCCGCGGCTCACTAGGCTAATCCTCCGCCTTGCGGCGCCGGCACACCGGCTTCTAGTCCCGGTTGCCCCTCTTCCAGGCCAGCTCTCTGCTATGGCCCGGGAGTGTAGTGGAGGATGGCCCATGTGTTTGGGCCCTGCACCCCATGGGAGACCAGGATAAGTACCTGGCTCCTGCCATCGGATCAGCACGGTGCACCAGCTGCAGCGCGGTGGCCATTGGAGGGTGAACCAACGGCAAAGGAAGACCTTTCTTTCTGTCTCTCTGTCCACTCTGCCTGTCAAAAAATAAATTTTATTTATTTATTTATTTATTTATTTATTTATTTGAAAGAAGGCAGACTGACAAGGAGATGAGGGAGACAGAGATCTCCCATCTGCTGATTCACTCCCAATGCCTGCAACAGCTAAGGCTGGGCCAGGCCAAAGCCAGGAAGGAGCGGGGTTGCAATTTAGAACTCCCTTGTGGTGACGGGCCCAGTCACTTGAACCACCACGGCTGTCTCCCAGGATGTGCGTTAGCAGGAAGCTGGACTGGAAGTGGAGTAGGCACTCTAGTATGGGATGTAGGCATCCTGAACGGTGGTTCCACCCATTGCACCACAATGCTTGCCCCTTCCATGGTTAGTTTATTTTGGGGGTAGTGAAGCTCAGGTTCTATCCTGAAAAGGACTCAGTGTTTACAACAAGCTTTACTGCTCACCAGTAAGAGTAACATGTGCCATCCTGAAGCACTGCTAGACAGGGTGCTGTCCTGCAGAGCCTCACATTCACTTCAGTCCTTAATAAAACGCTCTGAGGCACGAGGGCTGCCATTCTGCATGTGGAAAAACTGAGATTTGTCATGTATCTGCCAGAGGTCGTGCAGCTAGTAACAGAGGCATGCGCTGGCCTGCAGCTGCCATCTACACTGAAGGTCTTCCTGAGCCCTGCCGTCTCCTGACAGAAGTGCTCGTGGAGGCACGCCGAGATGCCCGTGTCGCTCGGACCCTCAAGTGGCAGTCTTGAAGGACAGATGTGATCAAAGGACACATTTAATAGAGGAAAAAGAGTTTGTCTATGGTATTCCAGGAATATATGGAATGCATCGCACAAAATGTAAAAGCATGCCTGACGTGCAGCTTCACAAGCCGCATACAGGCCACATTGTTGTTTGAAAATATCTTGGTGCCGTGATCAGAATCATCATCCAAGATTGTAGGCAGGGCCCTCTGGGTTTACTTCTCGCTGTCCTAGTACGTGAAGGAGCTCAGTGGCTCACGGTGTGTGTGCAAGCATGCTGGGGGAGAGCAGACCCTGTGGAGCCTTACCCTCCCTCTGCTGGCTAACTGGCACCCTGGGCAAGTCAGAGATGGCTTGCTCTGATGGTCTCATGGGGCCACAGGGAGGACAGAGATGTATATGAATGCTTTGCAAATAAGGACTCCAGAAATCAGGATGATGCTATGTTTCTTTTTAAAAAGAGATCCGATAATCAGAATTTTTACTCGGGCCTAACTCCTGAAGATAGTATAAACCTTTCCTTGTATGTTTTTCCTTTTAGGCTTCTCAGAGGGCAAGACTTCATGTAATAACACTTTCATGAAATCTACCCCCACAATAATCAGTTAGAAAGCAAACCTGAAATTGATTTGATTATGAAAGAAATATGACTATATTAAAAATTTTGGATTTGGGGGCCAGCATTGTGGTGTAGAAGGTTAAGCCTCTGCCTGCAGTGCTGGCACTCCATATGGGCACTGGCAAGTCTCAGCTGTTCCACCTTTGATCCTGCTCTCTTCTGATGAGCATGGGAGAGCAATGGAAGATGACCCAAGTGCTTGGCCCTTGCACCCATGTGGGAGACCTGGAAGAAGCTCCTGGCTTTGGCCTGGCCCAGTCCTGGCCATTGCAGCCATTTGGGGAGTGAAACAGCAGATGGAAGATAATTCTCTCTGCCTTTCAAATAAATCAACCTTTAAAAAATTGTTTTTGGATTTTGGGGCTAGCACTGTGGCACAACAGGCTAACCCACTACCTGCTATGTTGGCATCCCATACTGGAATGCCAGTTTGAGTCCCTGCTGCTCTGCGTGTGATCCAGCTCCCTTCTAATGCACCTGGGAAGGCAGCAGAAGATGGCCCAAGTGCTTGGTCCTTCTGCCACCCAGATGGGAGACCCAGATGGAGTTCCTGGCTCCTGGCTATGATCTGACCCAGCTTCAGCTGTTGCAGCATTTGGGGACTGGATCGAGAGGCTGGAAGATTTCTTTCTCCATCTCTCTCGTCACTCTTGCCTTTCAAATAAATATTTTAAAAATACTTTTGAATTCAGACCACTGCACATGTTACAGCTATTTATGTATGAACAACTTGATGTGCAGCAACGGCTGTTATCAGGGAGCCCTGCTGCTGTCAGTATGTCCCTACATACCACGAGAAGTGGAAGGACGCAGGAAAGCTGCTCAACTCCTTTCCTCACTTGGCCAGGTTGGTGGAAGAAAGGAAAGATTAATAATGGCTACACTGAAGGCAGAACAATTAATGTGTCTGATTTGCCAAGTCTTATGTCCTCACTGGCTATTTTGACAATAGAACCTGTTGTTTTTTCAGCAGCTTGATTTACATCCCATGTTGGTTAATACAGAGTGAGTTTCTGTTCCGAAGTCTGCAGAGACAGACAGAGAAGCCTACCGGCAACCACAAGCTCCAGGCTGAAGGAGTTCTGTCCTGCCCGGTTGGTGGCTATACACGTGTAGATGCCGGCATCTCCCGACGTGACTGGCTCTATGATCAGAGAGTGCACCCCGTTCTCTCGCACAAGCATCTTGTGAGCACTGTCGGGACGTATTGGCTTTCCGTCGAGTTGCCAGCTTAGGTCTGGAGTTGGCAGCCCACTGACCTAAGGCAGAAGGGAGATCCATGTCAATGTCCCTGATACTAGAACAGAGTACAGGCACCAGACAAAAATTCCTCCTTTGCTAAGTCCAGAGATGGCATTTTAGAATCTGCTGCTGTTAACTGTTTTGCTTAAAACCTTGCCATGGCTTCCTAATCCTTTCTAAACAGAGCAAGCCAGAGGCAGCAAAATGGGGATGAATGAAAATTCTATCAGCCTTTTATCTCACCCAGCGTTATAACGATTCCTGGGATGATGTCAGCACTGGGCTGTGAGGTCTTTGTGAAAAGGATGTCCAACCATAGTCACAATCGCAGACCCTCAGCTGGCATTTCTGTGCTGCAGAGTGTCTCATCAAGGAGTGGCCATTGCTATGGAGACATCGGTTACTGCATCCATCAGCACAGAGGGTTATTATTATTTTATAATCCTTGAAATGCAGTAAGAGCAGCAATATGAAATTACCCAGAAAGCATCTCAGCAAATTAGCATCACAATGGAAACATCATAAAACCTTGAAACCATAACAGTTGTGTTGACCAGAGATCAGATAAAAGCACATTTAATTGCTAATAGCCCATTGTGCTGTGAAGGGTAGGGATGGTTGCCATCTGCCAGCTTTTTAGATTTGCCCTTGATTCTGAATGTGAGAAAAGCACATGAACAAAGGCCTGTTTACCCAGTCCCCCCACCCCAACTTTACCAGTGGAAGATGATCTACAGAAAGATGTCAGACTATAAAGCAATTCAAGAACTAGCTTTGCCAAAATTAGCCAGAGAACTCAAACATTCCATTCCTGCTGTGATACTTACTCAGTTCTACCAGCAACAAAATGCCTCCCTACACACAGTAGCAGAAGTCAGGAGGAGTTAAAGGGAGGTGAGATCGTAGAAACAGCCAGCTTGGGCTCTGAGACAGGCTGCCTGTTCCCACACTGTCGCCACGCCCTCCCCCTCCCACACACTGCGCCTGCCTGGCCTGGAGGTCACAGTGTGGCTGGGAGGAAGGGGGAGTGGACCCTGGGTCAGGTCACCGTCCTCAGGTCCAGTGTGAACAGCTGGTGCTGTAGTAGACGCGGAGGTGGCAGAGCAGGGCATCCCTGTTACCAGAGAGGCGGGCATCGCTTATCGCCCCTGCGATTTAGTACCAAATGAAGGGTAGCCAGCAGCCAGGAATGTGCCTCGGGGCTTAGAAGGAAGAGAGCCAGCTGTTGCTGTAGTGTTTGGCTAATTTTCAAGAATTTTTTTTGGGGGGGGGGGGTGCTGGTGTTGTGCCGCAGCTGGTGAAGCCACCACTGCCAGCATCTCACGTGGGCACCGGTTTGAGTGCCAGCTGCTCTGCTTGCCATCCAGCTCCTTGCTAGTGCACCTGGGCAAGCAGTGGAAGATGGCCCAAGTCCTTGGACCCCTGCACTCACATGGGAGACCCCAGAAGAAGCTTCTGGCTCTTGGCTTCAGATCAGCCTAGTTCTGGCTTTGACAACTATCTGAGGAGTGAACCAATGGATGGAAGATATCTCTGTCTCTCCCTCTCTGTAAACTCTGCTTTTCAAATAAGTAAATAAATCTTTAATTTTTTTTTGAATCTCAAAGCTTAAATATACTGTTGATTTCTTCCTGAAGCAGGTAACATTGTGTTTATGGGGCAGGATTTTTCTTTTTTTAAAGATTTATTTATTTATTTGAAAGAGTTAAACAGAGAAGGAGAGGCAGAGCGAGAGAGAGCAAGAGAGGTCTTCCATCCACTGGTTCACTCCCCAATTGGCTGCAATGGCTGCAGCTGCGCCTATCCAGAGCCAGGAGCCAGGAGCTTCCTCTGGGTCTTCCCATGTGGGTGCAGGGGCCCAAGGACTTGGGCCATCCTCTACTGCTTTCCCAGGCCATAGCAGAGAGTGGGATGGGAAATGGAGCAGCTGGAACTCGAACCGGCGCCCACATGGGATGCCAGCACTGTAGGCATCGGCTTTACCTGCTATGCCACAGCACTGGCCCCAGGTCAGGATTTTTCATAGGATTTTCTTAATTTGGGTCGGATTATCATAATGAAATCAACAAGAAAACATTAAGTTTTTGCTTCCAATATTGAGAAAGGCAAGCATTTCAAGGACAGCTATGTCACTGTACAGTGGAATAAAGTACTATTCTTAAATATGATAAAACATGAGATAATAGTATAGTGGCTCTCTACCATCACTTAGATCCACTCTTTCATTTTTTTTACATTTAAAATAAACCCCAAGGGGCAGGCATTTCGTGTAGTGGTTAAGACACTGCTTGGGATGCTGGCATGCCATACTGGAGCGCTCCCTGCTAATGCACTCCCCGGGAAGCAGAGGTACTCAAGCATTTGGGTTCCTGCCAGCTGCATGGAGACATGGATTAAGTTCCAGGTTCCTGGCTTCAGGTAGACCCAGAGTTGGCTGTTGTAGGCATCTGGGGAGTGAACTAGCAGATGGAAGATCTCTCTACCTTGCAAATAAAATAAAAGTTTTAATAAACTACAGACTTGTAATTTTATTGCTATATAGCTCAGTATACATTTAAAAAAATACAGATTTTCTTATATAAACACAATTCCATTTTTACATGTGAAATAAATATCTTGGCATTATCTGATTATCTAAAATAAAATGTCTCCAGCTGACTCAAAATGTCATCTTACAGGTGGTCTGTATAATTTATTTTTTTTGACAGGCAGAGTGGACAGTGAGAGAGACAGACAGAAAGGTCTTCCTTTTTCCGTTGGTTCACCCCCCAGTGGCCGCTGCGGCCGGCGCAGTGCACTGATCCGAAGCCAGGAGCCAGGTGCTTCCACATGGTCTCCCATGGGGTGCAGGGCCCAAGGACTTGGGCCATCCTCCACTGCACTCCCGGGCCACAGCAGAGAGCTGGCCTGGAAGAGGAGCAACTGGGACAGAACCGGTGCCCCAACCAGGACTAGAACCTGGGGTGCTGGTGCCGCAGGCAGAGGATTAGCCTAGTGAGCCGCAGCGCCGGCTTGTCTGTATAATTTCTAATAAAATTTATTTTTAATTGACATGTCAATTTATATTTGTACATGATGTTTTCAAATATGTGTAAGTTGTAGAATGGCTACATTGAGCTGATTAACATTTGCATTACCTCGTATACTTATTCTTGTGAGAACACTTACAGTCTGTTCTCCGAGGACCTCCGAGTGTACAAGCACACGGTGCTACACTGTGGCCACCGTGCTGTACAGTAGATATGCTGAACTTCCTCTTCTTGCCTAACTAGCACTTTGTGTTCATTGACCAGTGTCTCTCCTTTCCCCTGGTGACCACCATTCCACTGTCTGCTTCTATGAGTTCAACTTTTTCAGATTCCACATATAAGTGAGACCATTGCATTATTTATCTTTCTGTGCCTAGGTTATTTCATTTAGCATCATGTCTCTCTAGGTGTGGGGAGCAACTCGGACTAGACTGTTACTGGAATTAAGACTTATTCTATGCATCTGCTTTCCCACAATATGGCGCTGAGAAGGGAGTAACAACTTCTACGCAGCTGCCTCTCGCCAACTTGAGTGATGACCTGCAGGAGCTGATCCTGCTCCTGATTGGAGGAGAGCAGCGTACTCGGCGTGTGGGTAGCAGAGTTGGGATTGGTGGAAGAGGACTATAAAGGAGGAGAGAGACAACATGCACCAGGAACATCTATCCGAATAACACCTGAGCAGCCCCCGAGAGAGCCAGCCGGCGGTGTGCCGCTCCCCCGCGGAAGTGGGGAAAGTGGCAGGGGGAGCCGCCCTTCCACGGAGGTGGAGGGACGGTAGCCAACCCGGGAAGAACCAGCAGCAAACCCGGGGAGGGCCGAGCAGACAAAAGAACAGTGCAGGGTCCTGTGTCGTTCCTCCACGAAGAGGGGGAGCGACATCTAGGTTCATGTATGTTGTCCCAGGGTTCCTTTCTTTTTAGGGCTGTATTGTGTTCTATTGTGTGTTATCTGTCATCTATTAATACATTGATGGACAAATCTTGGCTATTGTGATGAATAACATTGCAAAAGAACATGGGAATGCAAATATATCTTTGACTCATTCATTCCCTTTTCTTTGGATAAACACCCAGCAGTGGGATTGCTGGATCATATGGTAGTTCTCTGAATTCTTAATTAGGCTGAAAATGTAATACATAGAAACTCAAAATTGCCTACTTATACTTTAAAAAGAATTATTCTAGGAAAGAAAATATTTTTGTTAAGAATATATTCATTCTTTTTATATATATTTCTAGAAGTTCATGTCGACTTTTTAAAAAACAAAGGCTCAAATCCTCTAAGCAGCATTCTGCAATTCCACAGTGAACCAGCAGAGGGAGGCCAAATTATTTTTTAGAAACCTTATCCATACTTTAGGATTGAAACTTCCATCAGTAAGTAGTGAGGCAAAACTCAGACAAATTCTCAGAGCCTTGGTTCTGAAACATTTTTGGCCTCACACTCCTTTGAAAATTTGATGAAAACTGTGTCACACAATTTTGCATATAATTTCAGAGCTCACACAGCTAATGAAGCCTGCTCACCCAGGGACCCTGGGTTAAGGACATCCTGCCGCAAGACAGGTGGAAGGATGTCACTTAAAATTAGGAAATGAGAGGAATAAGAGAGTATATATGGGGGGGGGGGAATACAACCTTTCTATGGAAAAAGCATAGAGATCAACCAAGGATTAGGACATACAGCAGGTTCATTACATGTATCATTTCAATGTGGAATAAACAAAACCTCCCAGTGAGTTCCTGGAGTATAGTGTATTAGAGAACGTGCTTTATACAAATTTTTAGAAAGGCATTAGGGACAACTGTATGTAAACATCTGATATGTTTCTTCTTAATGTTTCACATAATTTCTCCAAAAGGAACTAGAGTGACGGCGGTGAGAGGAGAGGTGAGGTGACAGGTGTGTAGGCAGCAATACACTCTTACCTTGCAATCCATTCTGCAGAGTTTTCCTTCTTGAACAGTCAGGTCTCCAGGAGCCTGCAAGAAATGAGGTCTGAAGAATCGCTCCTGAATTGGCTCATTTTCATCTCCGCTGTCCCTGGATCTAGAGCGAGGCCTTGAAACAAGAGAGATGATAGTTATTTCCGGGGCTGGCGTGGTGGCACAGTGGGTTAACGCCCTGGCCTAAAGCGCAGGCATCCCATATGGGCGCCAGTTCTAGTCCTGGCTGCTCCTCTTCCAATCCAGCTCTTTGTTATGGCCTGAGAAAGCAGCAGAAGATGGCCCAAGTGCTTGGGCCCCTTCACCCACGAGGGAGACCTGGAAAAAGTTCCTGGCTCCTGGCTTCAGATCAGCGCAGCTCCGGCTGTTGTGGCCATCTAGGGAGTGAACCAGCAGATGGAAGACCTCTCTCTCTGTCTCTACTTCTCTCTGTAACTCTTTCAAATAAATAAATAAATTAATTAATTAATTAAAAAAAAATGATAGTTATTTCCAGGCTCTGAGCCATCCCTTTTCTTATAAAATATAGGGTATAAACATGAGAGAACTTAATAAAGTTCATGGAAAATAGAACTAAAACGTGTTTATTTTGGCACAAACAATTTTGAAATCTATGCATAGTTTTTTTATAATACACACTATTCATAAACATTTTAAAGACCATTTATATTATTTTTTGCACCAAAATAAGTTTGTCTTGAAACCACATGGACCATGAGGTTTTTGAATAATTTCCTTATCTGGTATCTACCCTCAAGATTGACATAAAATTAGAAGAGCAAAATCCTAACAGTCTGCTAACTACAGGCTAATATAAAAGGACAAATGGGAAAAAAAAAAGGTAGCACCTATTAACATTTGTTTCTTAAATATTTTTAGTTTTATGAGTAGTAGCAACTGTTGCTCATTATTTATTAGAAGATCTTTAGTTTCAGAAGAAATTACTAATAACTTTCCATTGTGATTTTAATTTTGTAGGAAGTTAAAAGATTTTATTTTATACAACTTTAATATATTTCTAATCAAAATTTCTTTTTATATTAAACAGGCAAATAACTTTTTTAGACAGGTTTTCTTTTGCATTAGTTATCCACGTACATAAAGCATTACTTTTTGCTTTAAAATAAGACTATGCAAATCTCTTTGATTTTGTGCATCTCTCCCATTTTTATATTGCCAGAGGAGCCTTTAAGAGGAATAAATTTAAAATAATTGCAAGGAATACTTAAGAAGAGATCAAGATGTGGAATATAAATTCCGGCAGTAATCACTAGAAGATAAGTTTAAAAGCACGTAACTAGAAAACGACTGGAACAAGTGAAAGATTAATGTAGTAGTTTAATAATAACAAACACAGTTTTCCCCTCTCCAAGAACAGATTTAATTTATGAGAAAAATGCTCCCTAAGTACCTACTGAAACGTGGAAAAACTGAAATGTACTGAAGACCACAAGAAAAGCAGAAGAGACTAACCCAAGATTGGATCGAATACTAAATGTGTGTTGTGTTTCCAGCTAGAGATACAGGCCTAGGGTCCGGTGAACAGATACTGCCACACCACAGTTGTGCACCTGTTGAGGTGCCAGGGTTAGCTTCCAGTGAGAACAAAGGCTCTGTGCACCTGCTCGCACAGGCGGAGGAAGCACCATGTCCTCCATGCTCAGTTTTCCTGCTTAGCCTTTGCGCCTAAGGAAGTATGTGCTTTCTTCACCAAAGGTGTCTGCACTGGTGGCCTGGGTGTGCTTCAGTCAGGACTATTTGAGGGTATTCTGGCTATAGCTAAGTGGGAACCCAGTGTTCTTTTTTAACTACAAATATTTGTAACCTACTAAGAAGCGGTCCTCTTTGTCTATCCCTGTTTACCGTTATTCCATGAGCATTCTTGCACAGACCCAGGGCTATTAGAAACAAAAGTATACTCTACTGTTAGCAGACATTTGAACATTTAAAATAGGACAAATCTCACAAGACTTATGGTCTAGGGGCTGGAGCTGTGGCACAGTGGGTTAAGACGATGCCTCTGATTCTAGGATATCATATGGACATGGGTTGGAGTCCTGGCTGCTCCACTTCCCATCCAGCTCCCTGTTAATGTGCCTGGGAAAGCAGTGGAGGATGGCCCAAGTGCTTGAGCCCCTGTTACCCATGGGAGGCCCCTTGGGATTCCAGGCTCCTGGCTTCAGTCTGGCCCAGCTCCGACCATTGTGGATATTTGGGGAGTGAACCAGCAGATGAAAGATCTCTATCTCTGCCCCTCTCTAACTCTGCCTTTGAAATAAATCTTAAAAAAAAAAATTGACTAGTATTCCTATGCCATAGTCAGCAGTGGCTGAGTCTTCTTCATACAGAAAATGTGCCCTGGGTAGCGCTAATGCTGGGTTATCTGAAGGGGCGTAAGCACACAGGGACATCCTTTGTTCCTTTCCCCTTTGATATGAACTGCAAAGGAGTATAACCATCAAGGAGCCACACATTCTAAGTTCCTATTCACATTCCGACTTATTACACTTGCTTTTGTGGTTGTACTACTGTTCTAGTGGTAATAAATAAATAATGAAATGATGAAACCACAGGACCTGCTGTGGGGAGGGGCATCTGGCTTACCTTCTGACGTGAGGATGGCCTGAGGGAGAGCGAGGGCTGCGGCCTCTTTGGTTGACAGCCTGGACCATTAGCCGTCCAGTACAACTGATGCGGCCCTGGGGAAGACATCAGGAGAGGAGGTTATTAACCGTGGGAAAGTATCAGCCAGCGAGCACTGTCGTGTCCATTGGCCATTCGCCGCCAGGTATTATTTCATAACAAACCAACGTGCCGCTGGCAGCAACGCCAACCCTTCACAGAAAGGCCTTTTCCCTGGTGTCCACAGGATAGGGTCTAAAGTGACAGCCCTCCAGTGAACTTTTGTCCACTAAGGTCTCTCTTACATGTGAACTTGCTGAAAAATATGGCGGGACGATCTAATGTTTTTCTTGTGATGAGTTTATTTTCATGGTCAAAGGTCTACTGGTCTTTCCAATTCTGAAATCAGAGCTAGATGACTTGAGTTTTCTGTCAGATCTTTTTAGTGCTTGCTCCATGGTGGGGGCAGCCCTTCCCCTAACCATACAAGGAGGGAAATGCCGGCATGATAAAATGTGCACCCTTGAGACAAATGCAGGGGACGACAAGGCGAGCATCATGACCACATGGTGCCATGTGTTCACCAAATGAATGCATCTGAGATTTCAAAACCAGAAGCAGCTAAATATCCACAAGTGTGGGTCCTACAGTAAGGACCTAATGGGAAGATGTTTCTCATCTCTTAACTTTGCCAGCTGACAGTTTGAGAAACACCGTTATGCAGATGGACAAGCTAACTAGGAGATCAGATGACATGGATCAGCCACTGTTGTTACTTTGGCTTTTGTTTCAGCTCCTGCTCTTACTACTTCTTCTCTGTAGCAGAGCACCAAAATAGATGATTTTTCTCCCCTACTTTCTCCTTTCCTCCCCTGAAGAATGAGCAGATGTACTCCAAAATTCTGATGCTGACCAAAAAGTTAACAGCGAGAGAGGAAAAGCGAGAAGCAGGTTTCTCAGGAGTGATTCACCCCAGTGAATTCTGCCCTAGGGCTGGAGAGCAGTCTACATGTGCACTTGGGATCCTGCCATTGGCTCCCATGTGGCTTGCAAGTTTGCCAGTGTAGACAGGGAGCAGAAGCAGAGGTGTCAGCAGGTTTCAAAAGCCGCTTACCAGCTGCGAGTGGGCGAAGCAGGGATGGGGCTGAGTGGAGGGCACTTGTGCGAGAACCAAGAGACTAAAACCTCGCAGCAGGATTTGGTGAAGGGCAGGAATCCAGCCCCAAAGCCCGCCAGGGTGCTCCAGGTCTCTCGGACCAGGACTGCACAGGACTCTGTCCACTCAGAAGAACAAAGGCACACAGGAGCAAAATGGGGACAGAAGACTTGTCACCAAAAGGAAAGGTGGTCGCAAAGCAACCAACTCATCTTGTGTCAGTAGGGGTGTGACTCCCTCTAGCTGTCACAACATTCACTATTGAAGTCACAGTGAAAACCCGGCTTTGCTGAAGACTCGGGGACAGATGAAGTGTGTGTAGAATGGCGAAGGAGATGCAATAGTAGGACACTATTTGTCACCTAGCTTGATTGTATCAGAAGCTGGGGACACATGATACAGATTTTCTCATGCTGAGCTTTTGCCAGATGGGACATGCCCTAAACCAACTTGAAATCTAAAAATTACTCTGTCACCCCTCCAAATCTGTACTTGTTATAGAAAACCTAGCTATGACTTGCTTAAAAGAGCCCTATTAAGAATTACCCAGTTGATTCATCCTGCTAGAGGTTTTAACGAACACACGAATCTCAGGACTCCTCTTGGAGGTTAAGGGCAAAGAAGTTCAGTTGTACTGATAAAATGCCGCATACGACTTCCGTATTATCCTCTCTGCTACCTTAGCGTTACAGTGTATGTAATTTGAATTTATCCTTCCTGGTGGTATGAAACACAGAAGATCAGCAGGACAGGTTAGTATTAACTAATCACTTATGTGGTTAGAAAAAGATGTAAGTACTTGTTCAATTCAAACTTTTTTTTTAAAAGATTTATTTATTTATTTGAAAGAGTTACACAGAGAGAGGAAAGGCAGAGTGGGGGGGGGGGTCTTCCATCTGATGGTTCACTCCCCAATTGGCCGCAATGGCCAGAGTTGCACTGATCCGAAGTCAGGAGCTAGGAGCTTCTTCTGGGTCTCCCATGTGGGTGCAGGGGCCCAACCACTTGGGCCATCTTCTACTGCTTTCTCAGGCCATAGCAGAGAGCTGGATTGGAAGTGGAGCAGCTGGGTCTCGAACCGGCACCCATATGGACGCTTCAGGCCAGGGCATTAACCTACTGCACCACAGCGCTGGCCCCTATTCAAACTTTTAAACCTGACTTTGGGCAAGCAGATGTGGGTTGCTAAAAGGAGTCCTCTAACTGGGGTTTTTGACTTCTCCCCAGCACCCCTAAATGCTACCACCTGCTATGGCGCCATAACTGTCAGCTGGAACGGGATGTCAGTGATGCCCATCGCTGGGTTCCCGGGAGCCAGTTCTGTGCTGCTGTGCGTCTGGGAGCCGCCGGGTACACACAGGCCTGCATCAGGATGATCTCGAGGTGCCCCTGCAGCTTGACTGGCCCCAGGGAATGTTTCCAGGTGAGTATATTACATTTGAGGCATGCTCTCCACTCCCCATTTGTAGTCCTTTTAGCCAGTGTCTCCTCTGCCCCTCAGGCTCTCACTGCTGGGGTCCGTCACAGGCACCTTCGCGCACTCAGCAGCTCTGCAGTCAGGCTGTCCCTAACAGTGACCTGAGGCAGGGAGCGTGACCTCTCCAAGTTTCCTCATCAATACAAGCCTCGAGATCTTAGGAAGATTACATGGGTTAATGCATGTAAAGTACTTGGCGAAGTGTTTGCCAAAGGGTAAAATGCTCAAAATATTAACCACAGCACTGGATACAGGTAGAATTATAACAGCAAGCTGAATATGAGGCATGCCTTAGAACTGTTTTGTTAAATACAATGATACCTTATTTTTCATTTCTTTTTCTTGGTATGAGAATGTAATTTACTTTGAAGGCAAAGCGGTATTTGTAGCATGAGACACATGCTCTGTGGAAAGCACATCAACCCCTCTAACTTCTGCTGATGCCTGGATGGTGCTAGGTACACGGCGGCATTCAGTGTCTTGTGACAGATGCCCTACTCGGCTCCAACCACTGGACTCTGCTCAGGATAGACCCCAGCAAAGTTGGGTACACGGGCTGGCATTTGACTCTGGAGGGATTTCACATTTCTATGCTGTTTTCACTGCAGCTGCTTAGAACCATAAATACAAATATTGCCACAGAATATTTCATTAACCTCCCAAGTTAGTATGTTACCTTTTGTTCTCTTTCTACTCCTACACCAACCTTCACTTCTGAACATGAAGGGGGAAGGTATGATCTTAGTTTGGTGAATTCTGAGATATCTGGTAAATATATAATACAGACCTGGAGCACTTAGAAAGCATCCAAACTAAGAATTTATATAGAGGGGCTGGCGCTGTGGCGTAGTGGGTGAAGCTGCTGCTGCCTGCAGTGCTGGCATCCCATATAGGTTCAGGTCCCGGCTGCTCCATTTCCAATCCAGCTCTCTGCTATGGCCTGGGAAAACAGTAGAAGATGGCCCAAGTCCTTGGGCCCCTGCACCTGTGTGGGAGACCTGGAGGAAGCTCCTGGCTCCTGGCTTCAGATTGGCCCAGCTCCAGCAGTTGTGGCCATTTGGAGAGTGAACCAGGGATGGAAGACCTCTCTCTTATCTTTGCCTTTGCCTCTCTTTAACTCTGCCTTTCAAAGAAATAAAGCAAGCTTTAAAAAAAGAATTCATATGTAATTTTGACATTTCATTTTTTAAAAAAATAAAAAGGACTTAAGTATTTTTGAAACGATGTCTCCAATGTACACAATAGAAAGTTCAGGTTTTTAAGTCTGAACCTCTTATTTATGAGAAAGAACATACAGAATTAGTGCTAAGTAATTGTAATCATTGTATTACGCCAGTTAACCTTAGCAGTCATCATAATTAGCAGTATTCCGGGGGCATTTGCTTTATTGATTTTCTCATTCCTGTCTGTTTCATTATAAACACAGGAACTAACAAGGGAAGTGAATGTTGGAAGTGAAGCTTTGGTGAGCCAGGAGACCATATGACGATGCTACAACAAAGCACAATCAGCAGTCTAACGCTTTGTATTTAACTCAGCTGTTACTTTTCTATGCCAAACAAATCGAGAGTTAAATTTAAAGCTAACAGTACAAATAAGAAGTTGAATCCTTTAAAGTGATTCTGTATAAAACATGCAGCTTGTAAAGATTATTTGCTGCCTCTGAAAGGCCAATTATTTATGTAATATGAAAATAACATTTATATTTCACAGTTTATGAAATTTAACTTGTGGCACACAGGTCTTTATAAATGCTTGCCCCATGTATACATAATGCAATTTGAGCAAACATCAAACTGCAAAACAGCCATTCCAGACTCCAAGTGCAACACAAGTAACTTAGCAACACAACCAAATAGAGTAAAACATTCGTGTTTAGATTCAGTTGTCTCTTAAAGATAGGATTAGAGTCTAAAATAAACGGCCTGAGCGATTCTCATTTTGGCATAATGTCTGCTGCAACGCTGAGCAATCACTCTCCATCACGCCGGACCCTGGGACTGCCTCGGTCTCTCCTGAATTCCCGAGCTGCGCCCGCCGCAGAGGACGCGCAGCCCTGGGGATGTGGAGAGCCGAGTGTCCCACCCCAAGTGGAACTTCGATGTCGTCAACGATATCTAATGTGTTTCTGATTCCCAGAAGATTAGCCCAGGTGGGAAAAGATCATATTCTACAAAATACTCTGCTGCACTTGAGACTTTTCCCTTTCCCACTCCTCGCCCTCCCCGGCGGCCTCTGTCATTAATTTCCACTGTTCGGGAAAGCTCCGCCGCCTGTGTTTCATTACTGAATGCATTTTTCCACTTGAGCCTTTTCCTTTCTCTTGGTCATTTCACATGATGTAGGCTACAGCTGTATTACAAGAAAAATAGATGTTGCTGTCTCCCTTGCAAGCCCAAGTGTGCTTTAAATCTGAAAAAAAAATTTAAGGTAACTAAAGGACATCAAGGAAGCAGAAAGTCAAGTTCAGTTTTCTGTCAACCACTCTTTATACTTTGGGGATTAATATATATCTTCAAAGATTCAGTTTTTTACTTTGACATTTATTTTTTTCCAGTGCCTACTTATGACAGGCCTCTTTCAAATCATGCTTTAGTTCACAGACTACAAGAATAACAAAATACCAAATACAGGCTGAACCTCCCTAACCCAAACTTTGTGTGTGTTGACATGATGCCCCCAAAGTTTTGCATTTGGGGAGCGTTTTGGATTCCAGATATTTGGATTGGGGATGCTCAGCCAGGTAAAGTGTACGCAGACATTTCAATAACCAAAAACCTCCAAAATGGTTAACACTTCGGTTCCTGGGCATTTTGGATAAGGGATACTCAACCTGATGTAGTAATGTTACAAGGCTGGGGTTATGACTGGGGTGTTCATTTTTACAATGGCATTTATACAACAACACATCAGAATCCATGCCAAGTGTTAGAAAAATGGCCTGCCACTTGTCATGGTCTGAACACCACATTGTTTTGCTGATGACCAGTGAAGCCCATGCCAGTTTCTAGGCGATGACTCACAAAGCCTCCGTGTGGCCTATTTGCATGCACCTGCTCCTGAAGACTCCAGGAGAGGAAGGCAGCAGTTCTGCGCTTGGAATTAAAGCCAGCCAGGCGACATGCTCAGACACTTGGGACAGCACCGACTACCAGATTTCATAAACATTACAGCGTCTCTCCCACAAGCTTCAGTGAGCAGACACAGCCACACTGCTGCTTTAAGGCCCCAGTGTCCCCTCTTAGGACAGAGTCCCCAGATGCTCTTCATGGGTGTTTGCTCTCCTTTTACCTGTCTTGGATTATTCAGGTGGAAAATTGGACTTTTAGCCCCACCTCTTCATTAAAATACCAGCTGTATCAACTCAACTTTCCAGAGAGCTGCAATTCTAGGTTTGGGGGCTGGTCCAGGTAGTGTGGCCGTGGGGCTTCCACCCCAGTGGGGATGGGCTGCACTGTTAGCACAACTGGGCTTTGGGCTACCTGCTGTGAATGGGACCACTTCTCCTTTCTTTGTCTTATCTCCAAAGAGTAGAAGCAAAGAACCAGAGAGGGTGGACCCCAGGCCTTAGCTGGGGATCTGGGAAGGCAGCAGAGTTACTGGAGCCTGCAGTGAGGCAGTGAGTACCCTATTCTGGGACTTGTGTTGCATGTGAGGCTGCTGAGAGCAAGCGTGGCTGCCCAGCTCCACGTGTCGCCGGTGTCAGCTGTGCTGAGGGCATGGCCAGGTCTCCCCGCTCCAAGCCCGCAGCTGTGGCAGCCGTGGCACAGTCACATCTGCTGCCTAACTCCCGTACCCAGAGGGTGATAAGAAGGCAAAGCCAGGAGGTCAGGAGAGCACGCAGCAGCACGCTGCCGAGCAGAGATGCCACCCCGTGGACTTGCTGCCTCTGTCAGCGCCGTGGGAGTCGGAACCTAGGAACAGCCGAACCTCGGCATCCTGGCTCCGCAGGCTGCTGCCAAGCGCTAGCACTGCCAAGCAGGGTCATGGGAGCCTCTGCGGGAGAACGCTGACAATAGCCAGCACGTCTGGAAAGCACACTCCACGCCAGGTTGGTAAACGTAGGATTTCATTCCAATCCCCAGTTTTCAGAACAGGAAGTAGGCCACAGAGGGGTCAAGTGACTTAGTACAGGCCACACAGGAAATGAGTGGCTGAGCCTGACCCTCAGCGGGGATTCGCCTGATGCCAAAGCCCATTGCCACCCGCAAGCCACAGCGTATCTTCAGTGTTGCCCCGCAGCCCAGTCTGTCTGGTGTCATTGCTCTCTTAGATTTCTTTCCCTTCCTCCTTTCCAATGTTTACAGAGAAATTTTTTATGGAGGGCTTGGGGGTCAGAGTACATTGGCTTATTTTAAATCTGCCTATGTGATCTGACATGGAACCATCCAAGGGGCATCTTCAGCAGGCTTCCTTTTATCATCTGGTGACTTCATGATAGTTTGTCAAGAGTTAGGAGACGCCGGCCCTTCGAGGCTGTTCTGCTGCCTTGAACTCTGCACAAAGTCACTGGCCACGGCACTGAGTCCTTCCCCATAGAACTTTTCCACATGTACAAGTACATTAGCGTAATTTGAGGCAGACTAAAACCAGACTCAGAATTGCAGTTTTGCATTTTCGTTCTTTTGTTCCGCAAAATGGCTTACGCCAGTAACAATTTACAACATGCTGGGAAAAATGCCTTGAAATTAATAACAGGATGCCAGTCCTGGCAAGTGCCTGAGGAACACTGATAATTCTGTCCCCATAACTTAGCCCAGCCTTTCCAGCGGAAAAGAGGAATAAAGCACTGAACACGAAGAACGAGATCTGAATGTTGTTGTGTTTTCCACCATTTGGTTAACAAGCAGAAAACAGGAAATTGAAACATGTTAATAGTCAAGGAGATCGTGAAAATATAAGGAAAAAAAAAAGGTAAGTTCTACCTTTGTTGCCACACACACAGGAAAACCATGAGCATAAATAAGCATTAAAATGCAACTTTTGAATAGAGGTTGTGATTGAGACTATTTTTCAGGGTGATGCTTTTGTATTTCTTGATTAAAAAGTTATAACCCCAAGAAGGTACACTGATATGGAGACTTCTACTGACAGGGCAGAGTGTGCTGTGCTCACACCGCCTCATTAGTTGGATAATTGGAGTCTCATTCTAATCCGAGTATCACTGCATAAAAATATCCTGCCGTGATGATGGGCTATCATAACCAGATAAATCCTGTACAGCCATTTAAAAGGTCTGTAAGTGTGGTCAAAATTATTTCATCATTTTCTAACACTTCATATCTTTTTGAAAGAAATAATGGAATAGATACAAATAAGTCAGGGGCCGGTGCTGTGGTGTAGTGGGTAAAGCCGCCACCTGCAGCGCCAGCATCCCATATAGGAACTGGTTTGAGTCCCGGCTGCTCCACTTCTGATCCAGCTCTCTGCTATGGCCTGGGAAAGCAGTGGAAGATGGCCCAAGCCCTTGGGCTCCTGACCCCACATCGGAAACCTGGAGGAAGTTTTTGGCTCCTGGCATCAGACTGGCATAGCTCTGGCCATTGCAGCCAACTGGGGGTAAACCAGCTGATGGAAGACTCTCTCTCTCTCTGCCTGTCCTTCTCCCTGTGTAATTCTGACTTTTAAGTAAATAAACAAGACTATCAGAGATTTTAAAAAATCTTCCAGGAAATCGTCATTAATTTTACAATACAATAAAATTGTTCATTTTAGCTTCCTTTTTGTTTATTTTCTGCAGGCTTAGTAAAATTAAAGTTACTATCATGCTGTTAAGGTACAAAATCACTTCTTTCCCATTTTTGTGCCCCCTGTACCTATATAAAGCCTAAACCAAGATACTGGATAACAAAGAATTTGCAGGCGTGTGCTGAGAATGTGATACCCAGCCACCTTCTATTGAATTCTAGGAAAATAGTTGATTTTTTGACCTTACATCTACGGGCTAATACAAGATAAAACTTTTTTTTGGAAACAACTCTGAATGCTGTCCACAGGCAATATAAAAATTATCATTTGTACTTACATATTAGCTAAATTCCATTTGTGTGTTTCTTCTGTATATATTTCACTTTCTGGAGTTAGTCTAATGCAGCTTCACATGCCACTCACTCTGGATCTGTTTTCCCTCCTTTATTTCCTACACAGAACCTAATCTGTTCTCAGATCACTGTATTGCTGCCTCTGCTTACTGGCTTATTTTCGACTTTGGGACTTGGCCCTGTCTACCACCGCAGCTCCTCCCCCCACAGGAGGCGTTCACACAGTACTGCCTTAATGATACCTGTGGACAGGCGATCTTCTGCACCAGTCACTGCTGTTGAAACATGGGGTGGACTAAGTCAATACACATGAAGCAGAAGTTTCTATCCCCTGAAACCAAGCTGAACGCAGCTCCCTAAGTCACAGAGGTGGAACGTCCCATTTTCATTCAACAGTTCCTCTGGCCACGCAAATGCCTGTAAGCGCTAGACCAGGAACTCAGCCCAGACCTCTCGGCTTGCATACCTGAGCGTTTGCAGCCATGATGGTGTAATTGCCGTCATCGTCCAGGGTGGAGGCCGAGGTGTGGAGAGAGCAGGTCCCGTCGAGATCTCTCTGAATGGTGTAGTGATCACTCTTGGGCGAGATCTGCTTCCCATCTTTAAACCAATAGATCTGTCAAGGCAAACACAGATTACAGGCTGTCACAGAGTAAAAACTGTGTCGTCTCATCCTACTGGGAGGACTGGTAAGTATTACATGTGTGATCTGTGGAGCTGAGCTGAGCTCTCATGTTAAAATGTTAAGTTGAAGGAACACTTATCTAGGAAACTGACTTCTGAGCAAAAAATAAATAATAAAAATTGGTAACAAGTTCAACTTTAATTTAGCTAAAAATTATATATTCCTTTTAAAAATGTATATGGGAAAATGGAAACCTGTTGAAGTCAAATGGACACTATGAGAAACGGTGACTTGATCAGCATAGCCCTGACTGTTAATGAACAACTTAATACATTATCCCTCTTAGTAAAAAAAAAAAAAAATGTATATGGGAGCTGGTGCTGTGGTGTAGCTGGGTAAAACTGCCACCTGCAGTGCAGGTATCCCATATGGGTGCTGGCTCAAGTCCCACTTGATCCACTTGCTCCACTTCTGATCCAGCTCTCTGCTATGGCCTGGGAAAACAGAAGATGGCCCAAGTCTTTGGGCCCTTGCACGCATGTGGGAGACCCAGAAGAAGTTCCCAGAACAGCTCCAGCTGTTGCGGGCAATTGGGAAGTGAACCATCGGATGGAAGACCTCTCTCTCTCTCTCTCTCTCTCTGCCTCCCCTCTCTGTAACTCTGCTTTTCAAATAAATAAATCTTAAAAAAAGAAATTTATATGAAAAGCATATATCCTCATTTTGTAAAGATACAGAAGTTATACTTTATGTATTATTTAATGAAGGGATTTATATTGAATTTTGGCAGTGATTGTTTCTGTGAGGTGGCATTACAGGCAGTTTTCTTTTTTGCTATTTTTTTCTCTCAAAAGCACTGGCAATGAATATGTGCTGCTTGTAAAGTCAAGGTACAAAGGTTGTTTTAGAGAGCAAAAACAGACCTCAAACTCTCACCACTCCACTGAAATGTTAGACAAATACGAGTGGGAGGTAGGGAAGGGAGGCCACAGCTGAGAGCTGGTGACGGGAGGAACTCTACTGCTTTAATTCCGGGCCAAGACACATTTGATCCAAAGGCTGAAAGCCTGTCAGATTTCCCATTAGAGAAAGAAAACAGGAGTACTGGAAAGTACAGCAGTTCTCAGATACATAACTTAGGATGATAGAAAAAGTTAAGTGAAAATAAAGGAAATTATGTTAAAACACAGAAGTATTGGAAAGTAGAATTTTACATATATTAGCTGAATTCATAGAAAATTAAAGTGAAAAATGAAGTAAATCTTAATTTAAAAATTTAAGTGGTCAACCTATTCTATAAATCCCCTTTCTTTCCCTTCCCTTTAAATAAAACTACCAGTTCATAAATATCCGACCTTTTTTTTATTTTAAGATTTATTTGAAAGAGTTAGAGAGAAGGAGAGGGAGGGAGGGTGGAAGAGAGAGAGAGAGTGAGCGAGCGAGTGCGATCGAGAGAGATCAATCCATCTTCCGTCTACTGGTTCACTCCCCAGATGGCCACATCAGCTGGAGGTGGGCCAGCTGGCAGCCAGGAGCTTCTTCTGGGTCTCCCACGTGGGTGCAGGGGCCCAAGCACTGAGCCACCTTCCGCTGCTTTCCCAGGCCATTAGCAGGGAGCTGGATTGGAAGCGGAGCAGCGGGGACTCGAACACAGGTGGAAGCTTAACACACTATATATACCCTTTTATTTCCTTTCCTTTTTTTTTTTTTTTTAAGTATTTATGAGAGAGAGTGAGTGAGTGAGTACACGGAGCATGAACACGAGTGTCCCCCATCCACTGGTTCAGCCTTCACACGCTCAAACCGGGGTGCACCAGGAGCTGAGAACTCAGTCTGGGGCTCTCCCATGACGGCAGGGACCCAGCTACTTGAGCTATCACTGCTGCCTCCCGGGGTGTGCTTTAGCAGGAAGCTTGCCTCAGAAGCACAGCTGGGACTTGAACCTAGTCATTCAGAAATGAGATACAGGTTTCTGAAGCAGGGTCTTAACTGCTATGCCAAATGCTCGCCCCATTACCATGTTGGATGCAGGATGTGAAGTTCACAGTTACAGATGGGCCTGGCATGGTGAATTACAGTGCCAGCAGCCCTGCCCTCATTGAGATGTTGAACCAATGCTGTGTCAATCCTCCTTTTCATCTACTTTTTTTTTTTTTTTAAGGCTTTATTTATTTATTTGAGAGGTAGAGTTACAGACAGAGAAAGGGAGAAACAGAAAGGTCTTCCATCTGCTAACTCACTCCCCGAATGGCTGCCATGGCTGGAGCTACCAGACCGAAGCCAAGAGCCAGGAGCTTTCCCTGAGTCTCCTGTGAGTCTCCCATTCATGTAACTCTGGTTAAGGGACTCTTCAATTGCTGCCCTATCCCCAGTGCCTGAAACTGAATCCTAGTGCCCCACAGCACCGGAAGCTTGGCTTATTCATTCTCAACAGTATGCCCCCTCCCACCTCCCTTTGCAAATACAGAAAGCTTGGTTTTGTAGATTAAAGATTCAAAATTTTGGGGGCTGGCATTGTGGTGTGGCAGGTGAGGATGCCACCTGTGACCCCAGCATCGCATATGGGCACTGGTTCATGTCCCGGCTCTTCTACTTCTGATCCAGCTCCCTGCTAAAGGCCTAGGAAAGCAATGGAACATGGCCCAAGCGAATGGGCCCCTGAACCATGTGGGAGACCCAGATGAAGCTCCTGGCCCCAGGTTTCAGCCTGGCCCAGCCCTGGCCATTGCAGCCATCTTGGGGATAAGCCAGTGGATGGAAGATACCTCTCTCTCTCTACCTCTCCAAAATTGACTTTCAAATAAATAAATAAATAAATCTTAAAATACATAAATAAGGAACTGGGGATCATGCTTTCCCATTTCTCTCATTGGCCATGACCTGGACCAAATTCTCAAAAAAAAAAATTGAAGTTTTGATGATGACTGCTTCTCTGCATCCCTTCTCTGAGTGGGTACAGAATACTGGGTTCATATTCAAGTCTGGCCACTCACCAGCTCTCTGACCTTGGGAAAGCTAATTAATCTCATAGAGCTCAACTTAGCCATTTTTAATTTGGGAGTAACCATGATTAGTAAATGATTCAGGTGTTTGGAAATCTCAGTTATTCAATTGATGTTACTAAGGGCCCATCCCCCTCCCATCGCATCCTTTAAACCCAAACTCCACTCCCCTTACACGCCACCTTTTTAAAGGCAATCCTGAACTTCAAACATTTTACATTGTGGGTATTGAGAAATACCCAGAATCTTCCTTATACCACATATGCTGTATTTTTTTTTAAGGTTTATTTATTTGAAAGGGACACACAGAGACAGACAGATAGTGAGGTGGAGAGAGAAAGAGACAGGGAGAGAGGGGAGTGAGTGAGGAGGAGAGAGGTATAAAGGACTTTATGTGCTTGGAACAAGACACCCTCCCACCCCGTCTTCTCAGCAGAGCAGTAAGCACCCAAGCCGCCCAGGCAGCTGTCTCCCTCTGCTCCGCCTTGGTGTCCATGTGCAGTCTCTGGGGCCTGGACGGCTTTGCTGGCCAGCAGTCAGTCCTGAGGCAGGTAGAGTGGCCCACATACTAGACACCTGGGCTTCGATGGGTGGGTCTCAGGGAGTCTGCTCCACCCCCAGCGCTGCTCCCAGCTCCTGCACTTCCAATCCAGTTCCCTGCTAATGGCCTGGGAAAAGCAGCAGAAGGTATCCCAAGTACCTGGACCCCTGCCACCCATGTGAGACCTGGATGGAGTTCTAGGCTTTGGCCTGGTCCAGCCCCAGCTTTGTGGCCATTTGAGGAGTGAACCAGCAGATGGAAGATCTCTGTCTCTCCCTCTTTTTCTGTAATTGTTTCAAATAAATAAATAATTAAAAAAAAAAAAAATCTGTCTTATTTTCGATCTGCTGGTTTACTTTTGCCCAGAACTAGGGCTAGGCCAGGCTGAAGCCAAGATCCAGGAACTCCATCTGGGTTTCCTACTAGGGTAGCAGAAATTTAAGTACCTGGGCCCAAATCTGCTGCCTCCCTGGGGCATTAGCAAGAAGCAGCACTGGAAGCAGAGGAGCTTCGACTCACAACCAGCACTCTCGATACGGGATGCAGGCATCGCCAGCCTTGGAAAATCCTCACAAAATAGGACCCGCTGCAGCTTGGGTCCCTCTGAATTCATGTGCTGCTCCCTGGGGCAGCAGTGCTGAGACCGGGGACACTTGCATGGATTAATCACTGCGTGACCCCGTCTACCTTCTGCCATGAGGCGAGGCAGTGTGAGGCCCTCACTAGTGCCAGGCTCTTGGACTTCCCAGAGATGTGGGCCAGAATGAACTCCTCGTGGATTGCCCAGTCCCACCACAGCTTAGCTCACCTTTGGCTTTGGGTTTCCGGCCACTCTACATGTGAAAGTTACAGGCATCCCCTCGAAGATCTTGTAATGTTTCAGCTTCATCTCGAAGAACGGGGCCACTCCGTGTTCCACAGGCACGTCCCCGCCCTGCACTTCGTCACCAGACTCATCCACGGGAGACCTTTCTAGCCGGTACTCTATTTCACTGATGAGTCTCTGCTCACAGCTGGATACTTTGTATTCCTACAGCAAACACAGAAAGTTCAAGTTGGCGGCCTGAGCCTGGGTTGGACAGAAAGGCACTCAGTGATACTATTTTATCATAGAGCTTAGAAACAGCCTGAGCCCAGTGCAATTCCAAATAAAGCAAAACAAAACATCTGGAAGCCAGTAGACGTGATTTTTCAAATTGTCTTCAAATCCCATCATCCAAAAAACTAAAAAAGGAAAGAGCAACCAATGAAGGTGAGCTTTTTTTTTTTTCCCCTTCTTTTCTCCTCTCTTGGTTGGTGGGAAGAGAAGACATGAACAAAGAAAAGCAAGGGCTACGGATTCCCAAACTGTTCACAAAAAATAAAGTCGAGTGGAGTGCTGCTTTCTTCCGGTCGGGGAGAACTGGAGCAGGCTGTACCCCGCCCGGCAGTACATGTGGCCCGCAGCTGCGGTGCTATATAGAATTTGATCAAATGAATAATGGAAATAATGGCACCAGGTTTTTTTTTTTTTCTTTCTCTTTTAAAGTGGGGAACCTCCCACTTTAAAAGAAAAAGAGGGCTGACAGTCCAGTCCAAAGTTTGGTGAGAGAAAAACAACACAAAAGGAAAACAAAGGACCAGTCGGCAATCCTACAGTGGGCAGGGTGGACCCTAGCTCTTCTTGCTTACCAAGTACAAGGACAAGGCAGCCCATTAAGAAATATTTCCCATTCACTAGTAAACAAGAGATCATTTCAACTTGGCTTTCTCTTAAAGAAGTTACTCAGCCCTTAAAACAGTTTGTTGGTTAGAAGGAAGAAATACAATGGTGGGAGAAAACTAGGAAACATACACCACAAATTGTTTTTATTTTGTCTAATTACTATCAAGTGAACCGCCTTGGGAATTAGCACTTTTACTCCCCTAGAAAGATACAACAAATGGAAAGCTCTTTGAGATTTGAAGTTCTCGTTATCCATGGATAACAGACTTAAATTCCAGTTTGTAAATAAATGGTCAGAAAAACCACACTGCGGTAATTATGTTCATCTGCTGTAAGTGAACACTGATCCTGGTCAGAGCCCTTGTCACTCATACATGGCAGGGGAGACAGAGGCGCAGGTGCGGAGGGAGGAGTGGGAGCACACGGCGGAGAGGGCGGGAGGAGAAAGGCGGGAAGCTTAACCTTTTGACCGTCCAGGGGACTCCCTACCGAAGCGGGAGGAGACCCGGCGCCCTGCAATGGCAGAAAAAGAGAAGTGAGCACTGACGATAGAAATGAGGAGAAGACAGCACGATTTCTAGTTTTCAAGTCAAATGTTCATGGCAGGCACATTTAACAGAGAAGAACTCCAGACTTTGAAGGCAGGCCCATTTCTCTAGGGACAGGGGAGAGTCTCCCTGGCCCTTGGAGCTTGTTGTACAAGCTTCCTTTTAGCCTGCGACTACATCTGGAGACTCCGCACAGAATCAGGAGAGCTCAGGGAGCCGCTGACAGCGAATCGGGAAGCCACTTTTTGTGGTTGTGGGATGGAACACAAGTAGCATTTCAGGTCTTCTATGGACTAGGGCTTAGAACTACACATGAGAAGACAGATAAAGAAGCAATCTCTTCAGCACGTAGACTTTTGCTAAGTGTTGGATTAACATCTGTGTGCATTAAGAATGTGACTGTGTATCCTTTGCCTGCCTATGAAGGTTATAGCTGTTTCAGGCAGTTTCAACGAGCATGTTTCTCTCTACATAAAACTATTTTGCATTACAGCATGGGACAGGAAAAACAGAGAGATGCCTGAAAGGAGAATAAACCACTCAATGAGAAGCTAAACGCAGAACAAGTAATAACTGTCAGTCGCTGCGCCCGGTGCCTGGCACACGGTATGAGCTCCGTGCACGGCCGCTAGGAGGTGACTGACGCTACTGCCCCTCTACTGTCCCACAGAATCCACCTGGAGAATGGTGTCCACAGAAATACGAGGGGAGGGCCCGGACAGCACAACTGTTCTTTTCCTAAGGAGTCCGAGCCACATCGTACCTGGTTAGCACTTTCCTCTTCGGGCTCCTGAACGTGGAAGACGGTCGCACTGTCAGCACCCAGCAGCCGCCGAGCCATTCTCTCCTCGTATGTCAACCTCTGAAGAAGGAAGCCACACAAAGTGCCAGGTCAGGAGAACATCACAACTACATGTTGCCTTCCGAAAAAGAGCAAAAAGCCAATGACTGATGGTCCCTGTCACTAGTCTCTCTCCAGCCTCAGGTCTGGATGTCAAGGGTCCACCTTTCCTTCGCTTCACTTGTTCTGCCCCTCCCCTCCCCTCTGTTCCTACTGGCCTAATCCTGAGTTGGGAGATTTAAAGATCTATTCACTTACTTGAAAGGCAGAGTTATGGGGGACAGGGGAGAAGAGGGAAAGAGAGAGAGAGAAAGAGACATCTTGCGTCTGTTGGTTCACTCCCCAAATGGTCACAATGGCTGGGGCTAGGCCAGGCCAAATTCATGAGTAAATAACTCCATCTGGGTCTCCCACATGGTTGGCAGGGGCCCAAGCACTTGGGCCATCTTCTGCTGCTTTCCCAGGCACATGAGCAGGGAGCTGGATTGGAAGTGGAGCAGCAGGGGCTTGAATCGGCGCTCATATGGAATGCAGGTGGCAGCTTAACCTGCAATGCCACGACGCCCGGCCCTGAGAACGAATCTTGAGACCTGCCACCTGCCACAGCACACGCTGAAAGTGAGAAGTAAGCAACGTGGCAGACATCAACGTGGGAAATGTGGGCCACGTCTTTATCCTTAATGAAAAACACAGAGGAAGAGATGGAGAGCAAAACACGATCTAAAAGAAACGTTACTGTCATAGCCGTCTCCAGCCTTCAGAGCTGCCAAGCCAGCTGTATGACTGACAAAGAAAAGCAGACAGACTTTCGAAGGGAGAATCCACCGGTCAGCGAGCAGAGAAAAAGAACGGGAGGCATCACTGCCGGAAACAACCCTATCGGTCCCAGGCCTGGCACATGCAGTGTTTTGGTACCCAGCAAGCAGCACTTTGGAACAGACGCAAACAGTTTTTGCTAGGTCATTCTTAGGGTGTAAGAGGTGCCAGCGCTTTTGTTCTGTTGGTTGGGGTGCTTCCTGCTCTTAAGTGTTGCTGCTAAAGTGCCCTGGAATGGTAGGGGAGGGGCCTCAGGGAGGGCCTGGGGGTGGGGTTCAGAGACCCTCTGCCCCATCGGCGGCATTTTACAAACACATGCTTGATTAGAAACAGAGAATTATTAGGCAGAATCTGAAGAAAGGGCAGAAGTTCTTTCACATAAGTTTCCAAATTTCTGAATTTAGATGAGAATTCTGCTGGAAACTTTCTAATCAGGACAATATGTTGGGTGAATGTACAGTTGCCAGGAATTGCTAGTTCTGGTCCCAGATGAAACCAGGAAGTGAAATAAGTCAAGTGCCAAACGATAAATAATCCCAAAGTTCAGATTATTTCACTTCATGAAGAAGCGGCAGGGGAGCAGAGGAGTTAGAGCTCAGAGCTGGGGTGCTGCGCGCTGTGGCTCAGCCTGCTGCGCTGTTAGGCAGACTTTTTCTCACACCTATTACAAATGATCGGTGACATCAACTTTCAAAGAGCAATTTAAATACCTGCTGTCTTACAAACCGTTTTTGGAGAATTGTATTAATATCAAAAGTGAGGTCTGGAGTGGTTTTCACATTGTCCTTTATAACTAGAAACATCAATTCAATATCTGTTCCTCCACCAGAATGCACCTGCTGCCATTAGAAGCCTAGTTTACATCAGTTTTGTCTCTAAATTACCATGATAGGCAGAGAGACAAGCCCTCACCTACAGAAGTGAGCAACAACTGAGAGAATAATATGTTAGGAAAAAGTTCTTCGAGAATCCCAGTTTCTACGAAGGGAAACCTTACTTTTCTTGTTCTTTTAATCTTGCAAATGTGGGTACTTATGGTACTGAAGAATGTCATTCACTGTTAGACACATAATATATAATTCATGTAGAAAAGAGACATAAAACACACAATAGGTAATATGAATACACAGAATCAGATGGAATAAATAACAGCTGACAGGAGTACTACCTGGAGCAGAGAATCTGAGCTCATCAGGAATACTCAAGGGGCCAACGCTGCAGCGTAACGGGTAAAGACACTGCCTGCAGTGCCAGGCATCACACGGGTGCTGGTTCAAGTCCCGGCTGTTCCACTTTTTTTTTTTTTTTTTTGACAGGCAGAGTGGACAGTGAGAGAGAGAGACAGAGAAAAAGGTCTTGCTTTTCCGTTGGTTCACCCCACAACAGCCGTTGCAGCCGGTGCGCTGCGGCTGGCGCACCGCGCTGATCTGATGCCAGGAGCCAGGTGCTTTCTCCTGGTCTCCCATGTGGGTGCAGAGCTCAAGGACTTGGGCCATCCTCCACTGCACTCCCGGGCCACAGCAGAGAGCTGGACTGGAAGAGGAGCAACCGGGACAGAATCTGGCGCCCTGACCGGGACTAGAACCCGGGGTGCCGGCACTGCAGGTGGAGGATTAGCCTATTCAGCTGTGGCGCCAGCCGCTGTCCCACTTCTGATCCAGCTCTCTTGTGGCCTGGGAAAGCAGTAGAAGATGGCCCAAGTCCTTGGGCCCCTGCACCCACGTGGGAGACCTGGAAGAAGTTCCTGGTTCCAGATTGGCCCAGCTCTGGCCATTGCGGCCATTTGGGGAGTGAACTGGTGGCTGGAAAACTTCTCTCTCTCTCTGCCTCTGCCTCTCTGTAACTCTCACTTTCAAGTAAAATAAATAAATCTTAAAAAAAAAAAAAGGAATACTCAAACAGAAAACCAACAAGAAAACAGGAGTGGCAGAGATGCCCCGCCCAGCTTGGGAAAGGCCCCTGAGTGTCTGTCCTTCTCAGAGGCCTGGAAACCGCCCAGAGGATGGACAGCTACACGGACAAGCTCTTCGTTCAGGGACACAAGTATTTTCCCTTTATGCAAATCCTGTGAGCTCAGTAAAATGACTAACTAATGCAAAGCTCATTAGAGTTTTCCTCTTCCTCCATCCGATGAAGAGGCCCTCATCATGTGCATAGCATTCGGCACCCCTTCTCGGGTCTCCACCTTTTCCAGGACACATGTCTCTGCCCACAGTGTTCTCTAAGCTTGATCATGATCATTCTTGGGAAACAGAAAGAGCACTGAGAACTTTGTCCCCTGGAAAAGGTGTCTGAGAGGGAGATTTTATACAAAGAAGTCCTTTTCTTCTTCTGTGTGTATTTAAGTGCCATGCAAAATTTTTTTTCTGGAAATAATTCCATAACAAAGTTACAAAAGGCTCTTCTCCCTTTTCTGGGAAATCTCATAAGCTAGACTTGATTTGCCCATCACCTTAAAATACTCTGATGTGTCAGGGCCAGTGCTGTGGTATGGCAGGTTAAGCTGCCGCCTGCCGTGCTGGCATCCCATATGGGTGCTACTTCAAGTCTTGGCTGCTCCACTTCCAATCCAGCTCCCCGCTAATGGCCTGGGCAAGGCAGCAGAAGGTGGCCCAAGTCCTTGGGCTCCTGCGCTCTTGTGGGAGACCCAGATGAAGCTCCGAGCTCTTGGCCTCACCTGGTGCAGCCCTGGCCATTGTGGCCATTTGGGGAGTTAACAAATGAATAGAAGACTTCTCTCTCTGTGCCTTTCCCTCTCGGTAACTGTCTTTCAAATAAATAAATAAATAGATCTTTAAAAAAATACTCTGATATGGTAAGATCTATTTATAACACTCTATAATTCTGTAGCATGTTTTCCCCTTTGAGTTCAGTTATCCTGTTCTGATAAACTAGAACTAGACTGTGGAGCAGGCCTTACGCTTCTCGATGGCTGAGTCAGTCCCTAATAACAGTCTGAGGATTTCACTGGACCTCAGCAGTGGATTCTCCAGCAAAGCTAATTTTTGTGTAGAAGCAGTATCATGACATAGAATCCAGACTCTCCTTCTGGTACCCTCATTCCAATCCACTGCTTCTGGGTGGATACACACACCTCCCCAGAGCATGCCTGCTCCCTGCTCCCAGCCCCCGCCCAGCCCCCCGGGGAGTCCCGTGTTGTTTGTACACGCCTGCACCATCGATGCTTGCGTGTGCACTCTCAACCCTAGCAGCTGCCCTTCCCTAGTCCTCTGCCTCTGTGTCACCCCAGGGAGGATCTGACGAAGAGGAGGAAGCAGTGAAGACCAAGGAAGAGGAAGCCCTTTCCCTCTCTCTTTTCTCCAGACTCCAGGCATCGTACTAAGAAGGATGTTGAGATTCAAGGGTAGCACAGGCATTTTGTAGGGACCCGAACAGAGAGATCCGTGATGCAGGGGCTGGTGACCCCAGGCCAGGCCCCGAATGTCCCTCTCCTCTCCGTACCGGCTGGCCATTGTTCAGGAGGTCCTCCTTGAAGCGCAGTTTGCGTTCCAGGTCTTGAATGACGGCATCCTTCGTGCCTTGAATCTCCTCGTCGGAGGCTATCCTAGCCGTTCTACCGGCCTTCTTTGGAAATCCCCTGTGGGACAAAAGCACAAGGCCCTGTGGTCAGTGGTCAGACAGAAATCCCAGTCAAACTTTAAAGTCCAACACAAAGGCAGTTCAATGTGACGGTGTATCTTTCTCACTTTTTATGCTCCAGATGTTGCAGCTCTCAGGGAAAGAACCCTGAGACCCAGTTTCAGCAGTTCAGGAAACTAATTGAAACCAGTTTTCAGAGGAAGCTAGAGACGAGCTTAGGGGAGTAGCCTCAATGGTTAGCAAGGGCCAAGGAGAGGGAAGGCTTGTTTTCATCCTGGGGAGGCAGCAGTGGAAGAAAAGAGGAGATTTGTGATTTGACCCACGCATACCATCTGATGCTGACTCGGGTTAGGCATTTGGCTGAGGGCACCTGCCTTAACATCTCTTATAAACAGGTGGAAAAATATAGACCACATACAAATGTTAAAAGGATTTGGAAGATACTGTGTTTCACGCTTTTATCTTGTCTTCTGATCCTTCATAATTCATTTATTCAAAAGCAGTGCTTACATGCTTACTTGGACTTATTGATATGGTAGAAAGCACCAGTAAGGCTAAGGGTGTATGTGAACACCGGATTCACCAACTCTCAGTTTCTCACCACATCAGCCAACAGTGCTGGGAACAAAACGGTCAGATATGAGGCTCCTGGAACAGCCCGGCGCTCAGCCCTCATGTGTAATCTGGGACTCATGAGGTCTGTGCTCCTGCCCTTCCCAGCAGCCCTATGTCCCCTGCTCCACCACCCCTGTGCTCCTTGCTGAACTTTTCCTCATTTTTTTGGGTGTTCACCCTTCAATGTGCTTACAGAAGGTGACCCTTTCTCCAAACTCAGGGGATGACTGATGTCAGCCAGTCTGGGTGAACGCCATCCTCTGGACAGTGAGGAGTTAAGCTGGAGGAATGTGATGTAGCCCTGGACAAGGAGACTGGGGCAGCAGAGCTGGGAGTGAAAGGGTGAGGTGCTCTAGTTAAAAATTTCCCATCTCAAACTCACTCAACTGTACGCTTTGAAAGGATGAATGTTATGGTCTGGAAATTGTATCTCAATAAAAAATACAAAATACATTTTTTTAACCATCTGTAAAAGGAAACACACAGGAAGAAGGGCCTGTCTGCTTTCATGGGCAATCTGTCTGAAATCCAACACCAGAAGCTGCTGTCTCCACTCCATGGCCGTGAGAGGAGACCTGTAACATACCACTGACAACACACCAGGAGGAAGGAACATTCTGGGTTTTTTTTTTTTTTCCCCAAAATTTATTTATTTATTTGAGAAACAGAGTTACAGACAGAGAGAGAGAGAGAGAGGGAGGGACAGAGAGAAAGAGGTCTTCTCTCTGCTGGTTTACTCCCCAAATTGCTGCAATGGCTGGAGCTAAGCAGATCCAAAGCCAGGAGCCAGGAGCTTCTTCCAGGTCTCCCACTCGGGTGCAGGGGCCCAAGCACTTGGTCCATCTTCCAGTGTTTTCCCAGGCCATTAGCAGGGAGCTAGATTGGAAGTGGAACAGCAGGGACTCGATCCAGTGCCAATATGAGATGCTGGCACAGCAGGCGGAGGCTTAGCCTACTATGCTGTAGTGCAGAACCCCCAATAGTGTTTTGGGGGCACTGTGTAATATAAGCCCACCATGGAACTGCCCTACCTGGGCTTGTTTTTTAAGTCAATAAACTGTGCATATAATTGACTTGCAGCCAAGTCTTCTGATACCTATGCTGGCGAATACCCTGATAAACCTGCTATCCCAGGTTATTTGCCCCTGAAGACTAGAATTTGATGTTAAAGAAAAAAGCATGAAAGAAAAATTTTATGACATCCTGTGTTTTTTATGTCAAAGAAATAGCCAAACATTAAATTGTATCCTACTCATTGGGAATTGATCTTGATATTTAGGGAAGTGGACAACGAACCTGAGATGGAATGATAGCAGGAGCTGTAGGAATTATGACTTATAACCTCAATTTTTAGTACCATAAATCCTTTAAGGGGCAGCGTTACTTCCTATGATGCTAGCATCCCAAATGGGCACCAGTTCGAGTCCTGGTTGTTCCCCTTCTGATCCAGCTCCCTGCTGATGTGCCTGGAAAAGCAGCAGAGGATGGCCCAAGTGCTTGGGTCCCTGCACCCACCTGGGAGACCCAGATGGAGTTCCAGGCTCCTGCCTTCAGCCTGGGCCAGCCTCAGGATAATGCAGCCATTTGGGGAGTGAACCATCAGATGGAAGCTTAACGTCTTCAGTTTAATGTCTCCCTAAGTCTACCCAATTAGTCACTGTACCACATTTATTTTCTTCTTAGCATCTGTCATGCTCTATTATTATCACATGTTCTTTAAAAATGGTCTCTTTGTCACCATGGCTTTTTTGTGAATCACAATTAACAGACACTCAAATACTATTTTTGGAATGAGTGAATGGATGCGCTGTGCTTCTCCACTTCTGGCCTCTCTCTAACCCTCTCTCTCTCCTCGGTCATGAAAACTGGTGCCAGCCCACAGGTGAAGCGTCAGCCTCAGGACCAGTGAAAATCACAGCGTCCTGCAAGTCACGTTCTATGTCGCTGGCTGCTTCCGCCTGAGAAGCGGGGAGCTCGGTTTGGAAGTCACCTGAAAGGTAAAATGGAAGACAGGTAGCTCTTTGTTGCATCAGCTGTGGGAACACCCAAGTTCCCACTACTGCTCTAAGGCTGAGCAACACTAGCACGTTGCACAAGCGTGCGAAGATGAGCAGCCTTGGATGACAGAAGGCATCGCTGCCTTGCAGCACAGACTACACGAGAGCCGTGTTCACAGCGCAAATGAGGAGGAAAGGGGGCACGGGAGGATTATCAGGCACAGAACAGATCACCTGCACACAAGTAGAGGACTGGTTTTTGTTTTTTTTTTTTTAAAGACAGCCACAAATTCCATTAGACAAGTAAGCATCTGTCCATGTACTACAGAAGTCCTACTGCTTGGACGGCATAGTTCATTCTTTCAGAACTGCTCTGGGACACCTCCCAGGAAGCTGCTCTCCTTGGTTGCGGCTCCTGCCACACAGGTGTTTTCTTCCTTCAAACAGTACCAATACAACTGCTCTCTGCAGTGGGTGTTGTGGCGCCACCGGGGATGCCCATATCTCACACTCGTGCGAAGGAGTCCCACCTCTGGTTCTGATCCAGCTTGTTGCTAAGGCTCCTGGGAGGGAGCAGAGGATGGCCCAAGTACTTGGGTTCCTTCCATTCATGTGGGAGACCCTCCTGGAGTTCCTGGCTCCTGGCTCAGCCTAGCCCAGCCCTGGCTGTTGTGGCCATTTGGGAATAATATCAGCAGATGGAAGATCTCCCTCTCCCTGTCATCTCTGTTTTGCAAATAAATAAAAATAAACTTTTTTTTAAAGTTTATACTTTGACCCAAATAAAGATGCTTATCATTTCTTTTAGTAGGTCAGTTTCCTAAACATAGGCAGATTACCAGCACTGTAAAAATATTTATTAATCCCTGTTTCAACCTTTTCTAAAGACATTTTCTTTTACTTACAAAATTCAAGGTACTAGTATTTTCTGGGTCTGAACAATCAGCACTGCAGTAAAAATCACTAGGAAGTTTACAGAAATGTCTAGTAGCTATTGCAAAAGTATTACTGACTATCTAGCTAGGTACAGTGTCAGCCAGTACAGCAATAAAAATTCTAATAAGCTTAGAAAAAAACGGTTTGTAAGGTAAGTGACTGGACAGCCTGACGGCACCATGGACTTGTACTGTGTGTAAGAAATTTTGTGTACAATTAAAAAATTACAAAACAAAGGTCATTATTATAGTCTCAGTGCTGCCTTCATGTAAGATGGCAAAGCCAACCAAATCCTAAAGGTCAGTAACCAAGCTGGGAGTACATGAGGGACAAGGCTCATTTTAGGTGCAATAAGAATGAAAAAGAGAACAATGCTGGTTCGAGTGACTGCAGATGACTCCAGGTAGGAAGACAAGGCTAAGACAGCCACCGTGAAATGACGAGGAAGCAGCCAAGCAGAGACAGAAGAGGAAGGAATTCAGGCTCTGCATGAATCAGGCACAGGAGGGAGACCCGCCAGGCTGTGTGGCTTCCACGGGTCACCTAACGATTATGCACCTCGATTTCCTGTGCTGTAAAGTGTGGGCGGTAGATAGCGTGTATCTCATAGGAGCACCAAGGAAATAGCATGCACCCATGTATTAAACACTGAGAACAGCACCTGGCCTAGTGGGAGCTCCTCTCGAGAGGCCAACACAAGATACCCAGCATGGAAGTGAATGGCAGACACGAGATTAGATGGGTGCAACAGAATGAAAGAGGGCAAGGAGTTGACAAACATGCCAAGGATTCTTGACCAGAGTTTCTAAGAACATGCAAAGAATCCTTACGGAGTGCCTTTTTCAGGGCTCAACTCTGTCCTAGGTGCTGGGAATACAATGCTCAATGAAATGACATAACAGTACTCACAAAAAATTATATTCTACAGTGGACAGGCAGAGAGAAAGAACGGGAGGAAGGACATACAAAAAGGTGTTAAGTGCTGGGAAGTGATGGGAATATCAATGGACGGCTTGCTTTGTGCAACCAAACCTCGGAGGGGACACCAAAGTGAGATCTAAACAACAGGAAGTGGGGTTAAACTGCAGCCTGCAATGCCAGCATCCTGTATCAGAATGCTGGTTCGAGGCCTGGCTGCTCTGGTCCCGATCCAGCTCCCTGCTAATGTGTCTGAGAAAGCAGCAGGTGGCCTAAGTGCATGGATGCCTGCCATCCATGTGGGAGACCCACAGGGAGTAAAAGGCTCCTGACTTTCGCCTGGCCCAGCCTCGTTGCCATCATCTGGGGAGTGAACCAGAGGATGGAAGGTTTCTTTCTCTCTATCTCTTCCTCTGTCACTATGCCTTCCAAATAAATAAATCTTTTTTTTAAAGATTTATTTATTTATTTATTTGAAAGTCAGAGTTGTACAGAGAGAGGAGAGGCAGAGAGAGAGAGAGAGAACCAGAGAGAGAGAGAGAGAGAGAGAGAAAGGTCTTCCATCCTCTGGTTCACTCCCCAATTGGCCGCAACAGCCGGAGCTGTGCCAATCTGAAGCCAGGACCCAGGAGCTTCTTCCGGGTCTCCCATGTGGGTGCGGGGGCCCAAGGACTTGGGCCATCTTCTACTGCTTTCCCAGGCCATAGTAGAGTTGGATTGGAAGTAGAGCAGCCAGGTCTCGAACCGACGTCCATATTGGATGCTGGCACTTCAGGCCAGGGCATTAACCTGCTGCTCCACAGCACCGGCCCCTAAATAAATAAATCTTAAAAATAAATAAATGACAGGAAGTAGCTGGTTGTGAGAAACCTCCAGAGAGAGCTGGGTGGTGCCAATGTACCCTGGCTGGAATGCGCCCGGCAGTGTCAACAGATGGACATGGTAAGCCTGGAGGAGAGAGGTGTAGATTGCATTGTTCCTTACACTAATTTTAATACAGAACCTCTTTTTCTTTTTCTTCTTAGAAGCATCTTGCTAATGTAATTCAGACAACACTTTGGGAACCTCAGTAAGAACTGAGGGTAAGGATTTCATGTAAGGTAAAAGACAAATCAGAATGGAGTATTTGGGAAAAGAGGCACCAGGAAAGAAATGAAAGTTGTTCAGGCAAAGCTTTGGCGAACATGTTTTGCTTTCTTGTAAAATGAATTCTGTGTTAGGGTTCCATGTAAGATGGGTGGCTGTGCTCCCCCAAAGGGCACCTCTTTAGATAAACGAGGATCAGCAATTCATGAAGAGGTAAAAGTACCTGGTGACAAAAATGATTTCCCTCCAAGATGGTTCTCTACCATTAAAAAAAAAAGCTTATTCAAAGTAAACTGTTAGCAAAATCAGAACTCTTCACAAAAGTCCATACTTAGAGGCAAACCTTAGCTGAACAAGCATGCTAGCAAGCCTCCCCCAGTGAATGCTTCAGTGTGTACACACGCAGTCCAGCTGTGCCGAAAACAGTACTGATGTGTTTACTCCCGCTGTAACAGTAAGTCACTTGCTTGCCATTTTAAAATAGAACTCAGGTGCCCAGGGGCAGAAACATCTTACACACACAGGCAGCAACCCAGAGGTCTTTGCTACTTGTCTGGCTACTGAAGAATCTTAAAGCATCCTTCCCTTCTATACTTTCTGAGGCAATTCTGTCAGAACATTTCAGAAACTCAGACCTCCAGAGTTGTTGTCCAGCAACCAGAAAAAAAAATTATTTTAACAACTAAATGTCCTCCTCTTCTCACATTCGGTGAAATCTGACAATAACCACATTACACAAAATATGTGAACAAACTCATTAACACATTGGCATTTAAGTATCTCTTACATTCAAGAATGTAATTTATGAATGAATCTATTAAAAAAACCCAAAACTGAGTTTTTGTGTATCAATTCTATTTTTTGTTAACTGAAGTTTATTATGAAACCAAAGCTGTTAAAGTACCAAAAAATGGGGCTTTTTTGCTCAGATTGCAATGAAAATTAATAACTTGAATATTAAAATTCTCATCACATTGTCTTTTGGGTGCTCTAAAGGCTACAATGACAAAGGCACTGGAGACGCCCTGCTCATAACTCTGCACAACCTGGAACACAGCCACCTACAACAGAGTGGGCCTGACTCCCAGCTGCCCCTGGGACAAAGACACATCTACAGAATCGTCCCTCACCTCCTCAGAGCGAGCCCTGGAGCCCCTCCTACTAATCCACTGGTGGACACTTGCCCAGGGTTGAGTACGTTTTATGGACTCCTGTAGGATACAGGACCCTGGGAACCTCCAACACCTCGGGTTCCCTGCTCTCTAGAAGCAAACGTCAAGGCCCTCACCTGCTCTGCTGAAAGATGGGAATGATGACGTGGGCAAAGCCCAAGGTGGCTCTCGTCTCCCGGGTTCCTTTCTCAGTGCTTACGACCTTACCGCCTGCCTCGACTTGAAAGCATGGAATGGAAACTACAGCTAAATCTGTTATGAACTCCACCTACGACTCGGGGTACTGCTTTGCTGCTTCTGCAACAGTGTTCTTCGATTAAGATCACATTTACTGGAGCTCAACCGAGGCCATACCCACAGTGCTTCTCCTGCTCAGGCCGTGCGCGAGTCCTGGGACGCCCTTCACCTCTTGCGTGGAGAATGAGGACACTGTCCCACCTCCTTGTTTCTTGGAAGTCGGCGAGAAAGAGAGGGACAATGAGATGATGTGTGTAAAGTGCCAAGTGCCTACAGAATAAAGGCTCTCATTCGTACATCCGAGTTAGCGCACTTTTAATTGACACACGCTCTTATTTGTGACACACAAAGCCTTACTGATATAAGAGAGGCAATTAAGAGTGTAAAACACTATGGCCCTGTGGCTGTGTGTGCTCTCTTATGAGCGAGGATTCCAAGAGCGTGAAGGTGGGCAAAGATACAGAGCCTGGCGGGTTCTCAGGGCTGGCTCTGGAGTGACTCACCTCGAGACCAGTGGGGGCAGGAATGCCGCCCTCCGCCCTTGGGGCACTGGCCAGTCTCCTGGATACCCACCGTCTCCTAGGAGCAACTTACCCAGCAGAGGAACGAGACCGGGGGGAGCAGGACACATTCATTTTATAAACGTGCACCCAGATTTCCTCTAAGGCACTTTCTCATGGCGACCGTCTGGAAGACTGAGCCACCTTCGCATCTGTCAGCCCCTTTAAGTAGGAGATGATTCCTCTGCCTGAAGAAGGAGCGGCCCTGGAGAAACTGGTGTGCAGAGGAGCCACAAACCATAGCCTACCCACAACCGCATTCGGTTGCTGGGCGTCTCACACAGGCCCACTCTTTTTTGCCATTTTGGCTTTGTGGTTTATCACTGGCAACCATGGCCTTTGTGCCCTCCTTGACCTCTGTGACCCAGGCACATGAGGCACAGAGCCTCATCTCTACCAGCTATTTAGAAACTGGCTGTGTACCAAACTTCTCATGAGAGCAATACTAAAAACACAAACAGAATAAAACAGCAAGTATGCCATGGATGATTAAGAAAACTGAGACTTTGAAATTTATATTTAAGTTTTTGGTAAAATAAGGTAGAGAGAAAAATCAACTCTCCTGAATGACATAAAATCAATCTGGTTGCTGGTACCGGACATACATGGCAAAATCATCCTACTAGACACACAACACATTTAAGTGAAACAGAATTTGCTGTTTCACAAGTCCCCAGCAAAGTAATTCATCCTCATTCTCTCTCTCTCTCTCTCACACACACACACACACACACACACACACACACACATGTTTATGCACAGTTCAGCAGTTCCTAAAGGCTCAAGGATGCCCATTAGTCATGGTAGCCCTGAAAGGGACTCAATCTCTGGCCAGTTACCTGGCTTACAACCCACCAATAAATAGCAGCATTTTTGCTTTTAATTCAGAATGCAGTTGCAGAATCTCACTGTATGCAGGAGGGAAAAATGCTACAAAAGACATCAAATATCAAGTTAAGTATACTTAGTGACTTGGAAAAACCTAAATTAACAGAATTAGAATCAAGCCCACCAGATTCCAGAGAATTCACACCATCCACCTTTAGAACGCGCCCAGCAGAACAAGGCACTGCTCCCCGCAGCTCCTGGCACCCGGGCAAGGCCAGACCCGCAGGGCCTGTCTTCGCGGTGCCATCAGAACACCCCGCGGTGGGAAATCTGCCTGGGCGAGTGGGAATAAGTGGGATGCGAGGGCTGCCTTTTCATTCTTGCTCAAGGCTTCCTTCTTTCCTCCAGGAACAATTTGGGCTTTTGGCAAACTCTGCAGCAGGATTTCGGCAGCCTTGAGACAGGTACTGAAATGTTCAGGAAAGCAAGTGCCTGCTTTTACTCATCTCACTCCTATCTCAGGCATGCCAAACGTGCTCCTTTGGAAGGCTTGCTGCCCATTTGTAGATGTCAGCGTATCTATCCTGAGATGTTGTGCTCGGAAGGTTCCAAGGGCTGCCACTTCATGGGCGTAAGGACGGGCAGTTACTAGATCACCTGCAAATACTGGCCAACCGGAGCCAGGAGCCCTGCGCACCTCCTGACTCCCCGGCGGCCCTCATTTCTTCACTCCAAGCATACACCCCACTTCGGCGGCACAGAAACACTACCATGTTTGTCCCCCTTCCGAACAGTCACCGGATGCGCGGAAAGGCTTCACTCTAATCCTGTTAATTTAGGTTTTTCCAAGTCAGTAACTGTACACTTAACTAAGCAACCCCCTCCCCATCTATCGAAATGCTGATCTGAAAACATTAAGATCCTTTGCTTGCTGCTAACTCAGACACACATGGGCTGAAATTCAACTTTCGTGGCCACGTGACCGCAGGGGAACGTGATATAACTACTAGCACCCTCAGCTATGTAGGTGGGTTGATGCTCCGTCATAGGGACACGGCGGCAGGTGCAACAGGGGTGAACCGCTTAGCCCCACCTCCGTCCCCCACCCCACCGCCACCCCGCGACCCAGGCCACCCGGGTTGGTAATCATTAAGAGCCTAGGGTGGATGCTGAATGGCTCCTGTCAGAGGACAATTGTGGGAGAAGGGCTGGGCAAAGCCGCCGTGGCATCTGACACCGGGAGCCATTGGGCCAGCGCTTACAGGGCGCTGCGGGGCTGAGGGCAGGGGCGGCGCTGTCACTTACGCGGGGGTGACGCCCTTGGGCAGCCCCAGGGCGTTGACGGCGGCCGGCGGCGGCTGCGAGGGTAGCAGGGCGCTGAGGAAGGCCGCTGGTGTCTGGCTGTGGCCGAAGCGGGCCGCGGGCGCGGCGCAGTGCGGGGCCGGGCCCGGGCTGGGCAGCGGCGGTGGGGGCGGCGGCAGCGGGAACACGTCGGGCACCGGGTAGGCGGCCGTGGGGCTGAAGACCGGAGGCGGCGGCGGCGGCGGCGACGGCGAGGACGGGCCCCAGGGGCCCTCGGCCTCGGCGCCGAAGGGCTGCGCAAAGGGCGGCACGGGCGCGCGGCCGAACTGCTTTGGGATCGGAGACATGGGCGACGGGAGGCTGGACGAGCTGGGGCTGGAGGCCGGCGTGCCGTGGCCCGACGCCGGGCCCAGGTTCTGCGCCGCGATGAACTGCTTGGGGCGCGCGTAGTTGAAGGAGCCGGAGGACTGCATGGTGGAGGCGGAGCGGGAGGCGAGCGCGCTCATGGGCTCCGGAGAGGCGGGCGACGCGCAGGCCGCGAGCTCGGGGAAGGCGGGCGGCGGCGGGAAGGGCGGCGAGGGCGGCGCGCTGCGCTGCCGAGCGCTGGCCTCCTGCTCCAGGCGGATCTGGTTCTGGAGCTGCTGGATCTTCAGCGGGTCCCTGCGGGGAGACAGAGAGAGGGGGACACTTTGAGAGAGGGGCTGCGAGCAACTTCAGCCGCCAGGGCCAGGGCAGCGGAGAGCCAGCGCCCGCCGCGGGCCGCTCTGGCCAGGGCACACAGCGTCGGTCGGTTGCGCAGGGCCGAAGGTCTCGACGCCTGGTTTCAGTTGTACCTAAGATGATTCAAGTCAGGTTACCCATCCTGCTGGAGATGTTGTCCGACCTCCAGGAGTCACACTTCATCTTAGCACAACCAGCAATATTAAAGGAAAAAACATTAGACGTGAGTTCCCTGTCCTCTGATTTGTAGCCAATTTTTTTTGAAAATTTTATCAGAATGAGAAAGTTGAAAAAAGGAAAACACTTGACTGAAGTTATTTTTGGCAGATGGAGGTTGGTCCAATTGCCTGCTTCAATGCAGTCAACTCAATATTCAGTAAATTTAGCTGCTTTTTTATTGAAGAGTTGCTTTAATCTCTGCATTTCCCCCTTAAAGTCTTTGACTACATGCAGAATGTTAGTAAATCTTGAATTGCCAATGCACACAGATACTGTGTGTGCTGTGTCTCAGACACATGCAAAGGAGAGACAGGTATTTTTGAATATGTGGGTGTTCCATAAGCAGTACCAAGGATTAATTTTATAGTATGTATATAATAAACAATTTTATAAAAATAAATTTTATAATAAGCGCTCTTCCGCACTCTTCCACTGACCCTGCACCTGGGCTGGAAGCCATCTGCCTGGCTGTCCTCAAAGGCGCAGCTCCCCACCTCCGTCCCAGCCTTGGCTCACAAGGCCCACAGCCTAGGTTGTGTTCTTAGGTGCTTCAAAGCTGGGCTAGCACTGTGGATTTAATTGCCCAAATATTTTCCATCGATAAGACAAAGTTTGTTAATTTTTTTTTTTTAATACAGTCAGCAGCTAGCAATCAGCTAAGATCTTGCTCTTTTACTCAAAACTTTTCTGTTGAGTCATCCAAGATGTTATTCCCATCAGGTAAAAACACAGGCATCAACAGGGCTGTTAAAAGACACTTCAACAGCAGGTGGCACTGTAAAGAAGCGGTTTTATTGAACAGAGAAAGCAATGTGCCTAACTTTAACCCTTTTAAAACTACAAACCCAAACCAAACCTAAAACATTCTTATCCACAGGCATTTAAACTTCAAAACTCAAGCTTTCAGAAACTCAAAGCAATAAAAGGAACTGAAGCTATTGATAAGAAAAAAAAAAGGCTTCCGGTCTGTTACTGAGTATGGTGAAATGCGGGAACACCTCATTCTACAGCCCTTGCCTGTCTTCTGTAATTACCCAGTAAAGTGACTGTACTTAAACCCTTGAGAAGTCAAGGAAGCACTTTCCTGGAAACGGAAAGGTACACAGAGCCGATAGTTCCCTATTCTTAACCTGTGCTGATTGCACCGAGAGAGAATTTTGTGGGCTCCCACTGAACTTAATTCCAGCCTTTGAAAGTGGCCGTGCCACTGGGGAGATTGACTGCTGCCCTGGAGACCCAGATGTCCGTGCGGTCTGGGCCCACCACCCAGCACACGTGCTTCTGCTCTCCTGTATTTAGGACTGGCTCAGGAATAGAACTCGTAAAAACCACCCACCGGCTCTAAAACCCAGTACCAGGCATTCTCACTCGAAATCCCCATGTGCTCCCTCTGGATCTTCCTGCCTTTTCCTTGTGATTGCAAAATGCCTCCTATTCCTGGAATGTTTATCACCAGAGTTCTTCCGCACTCTTCCACTGAGCCTGCACCTGGCCTGGAAGCCCTCTGCCTGGCTGTCCTCAAAGGCGCAGCTCCCCGCCCCTGTGCCAGCCTCGGCTCACAAGGCCCACAGCCCAGGTTGTGTTCCCAGGCACTTTAAGGTTGCGCTGGCTCGGCTGAGGCTGCCACAGTCATGACATCGGGCCTTGTATCTGGAGTGAGGATTTCCCTACCCAGGATTAGGGAATGGCCCTGAGAAGGCAGCCTTCCAGGAAGGTAGGGAAGCCCAGGCCATCGTCAGATGGGTTCCGACTTTCTCCAAGGGCTCAGCCTCCTCTTTTGATCATTGAAATGATCCACCAGATCTGCTACTTCAGATGGGCTTAGAGCTGTTTGGGGCACTAGTTTTAGCAGTAAGTGACTGATCAAGAAATTATGAATATCTCATTTCACCAGAAATGAATAGGCTTTCTAACCATTTGTTTCAGAAAATTCATGAAAAATAGAATTAAAAGAGGATTTTGGTGCAAAAAAAAAAATCTGAAACCCATGCAGCTTTTTCATCTTCTATAAACTTTCTGAAATGCCCTAGTACATACTGCGATGAAGAATTCTGCTAGGGTTTCCAGCTCTCCTGTTTTCCATTGTTGGCATGGAGAGAGGGAAGAGGAAGGGGTAGGAAAAGGGCAGCAAAAATATTTTGGGCGGTGGGCACTGTTCTGTAGTGGAGTCGCCTTCATCCCTTGCGTCCTGGTTCCTCAGCTTCCAATCCAGCTCCTTACTAATGCACCCTGGAGACAGCAAATGATGCTCCAAGTATTTGGGGTCCTTCCACCCCATGTGGATAACCCAGATAACTGCAGCTGCTGTGGGTATTTGGGGAGTGAACCAGTGAATGGAAGGTCTCTGTCTCTCTTCGCACTCTCACTCTCACTCTTTCAAATCTTTTTAAAAACTATTTAGGATCTCTAAGTGTCTATTTCTGTGCAGATGATAACATTTTTTTTGGACAGGCAGAGTTAGAGAGAAAGGTCTTCCTTCCATTGGTTCACCCCATAAATGGCTGCTATAGCCAGTGCGATGCGCCGATCTGAAGCCAGGAGCCAGGTGCTTCCTCCTGGTCTCCCATGGGGTGCAGGGCCCAAGCACCTGGGCCATCCTCCACTGCCCTCCCGGGCCACAGCAGAGAGCTGGCCTGGAAGAGGAGCAACCGGGACAGAACTGGCGCCCCGACTGGGACTAGAACCCGGTGTGCCGGCACCGCAGGAGGAGGATTAGCCTAGTGAGCCACGGCGCCGGCCAATAACACTTGAGTTATTTGTATAAAAAGTTTTTTTTTTTTTTTTTTAATAACTGAATGAAAGGCACCAGAAAGGCAAGATTGCCTATGGTTTTTGGAAAGTTCTTAAAAGTTATGTGTCAGAGCATCCCATATGCGCTCGAGGTCCTGGCTGCTCCGCTTCTGATCCAGCTCCCTGCTAATGACCTGGGAAAAGCAGTGGAGGATGGCCCAAGTGTTTGGGCCCCTGCGCCCGCATGGGAAGACCCAGAGGAAGCTTCTGGCTCCTGGCATCGGATCAGCATAGCTTCAGCCATTACGGCCAACTGGGGAGTGAACCAGCAGATGGAAGACTTCTATCTCTCTCTCTCTCTCTCTCTCTGTGTGTGTGTGTGTGTGTGTGTAACTCTGACTTTCAAATAAATAATTTTTTTAAAAAAAGTCGTTATTAAAAATTGATCACTACTCTGGTTTCCCTATTTTTTTCTGTTGTTCTTTCCTTGAAAATGAAAACAGGGAAATGAAACTTGACTGAACCTTTTAGCAATACTGTGTGAGGCTGACGTCAGGTTAAGAGCTCTGGATAGTGCTGGTGGCAAGTACCCGGGAGTGTCACACTGTTGTTTTTGCAGAACTAGCCCATCAAACTCCTCCCAGCTTCTTGTTTCATTCTCCCTCTCTCCCTACCACGCCCCCGCCAATACCAAAAGTCCAAGAATTCCCCACTGTTACTCATCCTTCAGTTCTGAAAGTTTCAGTAGTCAAGGAACGGAGACCACCAGACCTTCTGTTGTGCATCTGTCAAACGGGCAAGCAAGATTTGAAGTTCATGGCTCAGGGTCACAAAGCTAGGCTAGACCTGTGTCTTTCCCTAGTCTCTTTCACTACACAGTGAGCACCAACATAAAAGAAAACTCAACTTTCCATGGGATTTTTCAAGAAGTCTGTGGTGGGGCGGGTGTTGTAACACAGGTTAAGCTGATCAATGGGATGCCCACTTCCCCAGGAGTGCCAGTTTGAGTCTCAGGTACTCTGTTTCTGATCCTACTTCTTGGTAAGTATTCCTGAAGGCTCAAGCACTTGAGACCCTGTGGCCTATGTGGGGAGACCTAGATGGAGTTCCAGGATCTTGGCTTTGGCCTGGCCTGGCCCAGCCCTAGCTGTTGGGGGCATTTAAAGAGTAAACCAGTGGATGGAAGAACGCTTCCTCTTGTGTTCTCTGTCATTCTTTCAAAGTAATGAAAATAAATATACATTTGCTTTTTAAAAGTCTGTGTGGTCATGTTTCTTGAGCCTGGGTACTTTTTGTAAGCTTGCTTTAAACCAGTGGCAGGAGAGATGACTAAGTGGGAAGATAAATTGAGTTCTACATCTCTGTTCTTGCCCAGTCTAAATCTTTGCTCTATCTATCTATATATCTATCTATCTGTAAAATTATTCTTTTTAAAAGTTCAGTGCCAACCTTTAGGGTGGAGGGATTTATTTGCTTTCATGCCCTCTTGTACTGATAGCATCCAGGGCCTTTGGAATCTGATTCATCAAAGTTTTAAATATTTACATATGTAAGAAAGCCTGATTTCAAATTTGATTTTTTTTATGGTGAAATGGTGTGAAGAAAGATGGTCTTGGCATTTCAGGAAGAAAACATATATAAATACCAACTCAGTGGATTCCCCTCTTAAATTATGGAAAATCAAGAACTGCCTGTCCTCCACCCCCAGTAGTTTGCACTAAACTTTTAACAAGAATAATTTTACAGATGCAGCAAAGGTTTAGATTGGGCAAGAATGGTGAGGTATAGATTCCAATTTATTTTCCAATCCAGTCTTCTGCCACTAGATTAAAGCAGGCTTAGGAAAAGTACCCAGACTACAAACCTGGTCCTAGGGGATGGTGTGGTACAGGAGGAAAAGGCCAGGTTTGCTTGCTTCTCACTCCAGACCAAGCTAGACAGCTATCAGCTGTGGGGCCACCATGAGGATTAACTGGGCATATTTCTGGCTC